TAACAGCAGCCACTACAATGAATCTAAAGAACCTGATGATTCCGCAATTGCTTAGATGTAGCAGAAGACAGGGCTCATGTGGAAATGAGAACCCAGGGATTATTAGAGCAGCGGCATCACACTGAGTAAGTACTAAAAACAGATGCCAAAATTTAAACACTCTCAGACTTGGCAGAGAAAGAGGTTTTGATGGGTTAAACCCCTCCACATGCAGTTACATCAAACATACTGGTTTTAACACTGAAAATTCATTTTATATGGTCCTTCTACTCTGCTTTTTTATACACACACACACGTGTTAAAAAATAATAAAAAAGTTGATTGACGTCAGAATATGGTACCTTAGCAGCAGTGATGTTCCCAGTCTGGACTTTTCTTCCAGACTCACGTTTCATATTTTGACCTAAAGCACACAGAAAAAAAAAAATAGCACAAATATAACCATCGTGTAGTCTTACCAGAAAACCCAAGACTGAAATGGTGATGGTGACAATGGACTAAAACACCCTCTCAGTCACGCACACAGTTCTAAATTAAGAATTTACAATAAATATTACAGCTGGTCTAAGAAAGCATGCTCATAAAAGAGTACCAATGAAAAATAGTATTCCTGATTATAACAGAATACCTGATTAGCAACAGATTCTTCTGAAAAACTTGTACCCCTGAGATATAAACTCTTCCCCCACAAAACCAAGCAGCAGAGGTTCACAAAAACCTGGAAGACCCCCTAAATCCTAGAGGCTGCTGCACGGTACCTTGTGGTCTGCAAAGTCTGTATGACAAGAAGAACCAGGGTTTATAATTCAGTTTTGTACGTCAGTAAATCTCAGCCTTTGGTATGTTTGAGCAGGCTGTAACAGAGGCTCGCAAGCACATTGGGGGATTTGTGTTACGTATTTAGCCTGGCCGAGGAGAGGTTTACGTCAGAACTACACATAAGAAACCCCCCCCCCCCCCCCCCCCAGATTTATAAGAAAGGAGAAAAGCCTAAAAGCAGCAACGAGAGGACGGGAAGGGAGCCTGGAGCTACGGGGCCCCGGATAACCCCGGGGACTGCGGGGTGCTGCGGCGCCTCAGCCCCGCGGCGGGGGCCACAAGGGGGGCGCCGGGCCCTGAGGGGACACAAAATGGCGGCGAGGGGGGACTGAGGGGGGACTCACTGAGAACGAGGACGGGGCGCGGGCCCATCATGGCGGCGGCGGCGGCGGCGGGACCCGGAGCGCGGAGCCGAGGGGAAGCTTCTAGAGCGGAGCTCGCTCGCCCCGCCACCACAGCCTACCCCGAGGGCCGCCCCGCCGCGCCCAATCGCTGCCTGCGCGGCGGGCCCGACGTCCAATCAGAAGGCGGGAGCGAGCAGGAGGCGGGGCTTGCGCCTCCCGTCCCCACCCCGCGGGGTTCTCAGAAAGTTCGGTTGAGGAGCAACCGGGCTGGCAGCGCGTTGGGAGGGGCTGGGCGGCAGTGCGCATGCGCAGGCTGCCGGGCCCGAGAGCATGGCTGGAAAATGGGTCCGACGGTCAGGGCGCATGCGCCAGGCGAAGGGGTCTATGGGATGGGCGCGCTGCCAAGGGGCATGCTGGGAGTGATAGTCTTTGAGGGGCTGGTGTCAGAATCAGAAAATCATTGAATTGGAAAAGCAATCCAACCTCGTCTGGTCCAACCATCCCCCTACCACCGATGTCACCCACTGAACCATGTCCCCAAGCACCACGTCCAACCTTTCCTCGAACACCCCCAGGGACGGTGACTCTACCACCTCCTTGGGCAACCCGTCCCAACGCCTGACTGTAATAAGTGGTAGGAACCAAACCACTCTCAGAATAATCTTTATCAGAGCCAAGTTTATTAAGCAAGGATTCAAGCAGGAAAAACAGCGCTGGGCGGCTGCGGAGTCTCTGCTCCACCAACGGCACGCACCTCACCCCCGCCAGCATCCCCCTTTTATAGCCTGGTTGTTCAGGGTGTACGTGGCGTATCCTGGTATGTCCTGCGGTTGCGTGTACTGTTGCTAGGGGGTCGTCTCAGACCTCCTGGTGGTCGTGAGGATGAAGGCCGTAGTCTTCCTCTGCGTTGCAGGTTGCGATCTTGCTGAGCAAGCACTCTCCATGTTCTGATCAGGATGGGCAGCTGGAAACTCTCCAGCTATACAGGGTTGTCACAGCCCCCACAAGCTTTCCCGCCGGTTTGATTAACAAACTTATTATACAATATTTATTACACCGACCACTCTATCTGAGGAGAAATGTCTCCTCATTTCCAACCTGAACCTCCCCTGGCACAACTTGAGGCCATTCCCTCTTGTCCTGTTGATAGTCATGTGCAAGAAGAGGCTGACCCCCAGCTCCCCACACCTTCCCTTCAGGCAGTTGCAGAGAGCAATGAGCTCTGCCCCGAGCCTCCGCTTCTCTAGCCCAAACACCCCCAGTTCCCTCAGCCGCTCCTCACAGGACTTGTGCTCCAGGCCCTTCACCAGCTCCGTAGCCCTGCTCTGGACATGCTCCAGGGCCTCGATGTCCTTCTGGGAGTGAGGGGCACAAAACATGGTACTCAAGGCGTGGCCTCACCAGAGCAGAGCACAGGGAGACGATCACATCCCCAGTCCTGCTGGCTATACTATTCCCGAATATCCCAGCAGTCTTTATAAGTGCTATTTTTTTAACTAAAAGCTGCTGGTTTTTAAACGCTTTTGGGAGTGCAAGTAAACCCTCTTTCTCCAAAGGGCAAGTCTGGGGGGGGGGAGCGAGATGGAGGGCGGGAGGGGGGAGGGGGCAGGACTACATTTCCCAACATGCCTCGGGGGCGCTGCGAGGCGACACGTCACGGCCCGCGGGCGCTTCCGCTCTTTTCCTGCTGCTGAGTCGGCCTTCCGCGGGCTGTGGCAAGGCGGAGAGGGTGAGGGGCGGCGGGGACTCGGCGGTGTCGGAGGGAGGGGAGCGGAGCGGAGGAGGGGAGCGGGGACTGGGAGGACAGCAGGGATTTGGGGGGGCCTTTATGGACAGCATAGGGGGGGGCAGAGGCACAGCGCTGATTTGGGGATCTATAGGGCCAGCAGGGATTTGGGGAACCCACAGGGACATCAGGGATTTGGGGGACCATTGGGGTCAGCAGTGATTTGGGGGAACCTTTAGGGCCAGCAGGGATTTGGGGGACCCACAGGAACAGCAGTGATTTGGGGAACCTATGGGGTCAGCAGGGATTTGGGGACCTGTAGGGACAGCAGTGATTTGGGGGACCCACAGGGACATCAGGGATTTGGGGGACCATTGGGGTGAGCAGGGGAACCTATGGGGTCAGCTGGGATTTGGGGGACCCACAGGGCCAGCAGTGATTTGGGGACTCGAGTGGGAAGCACAGATTTAGGGCACCCACACAGATACCAAGAGGGGGGGGGACACAGAGGGACAGCGGGGATTTGGGGGACCCTCGGGGACACCCAGATGTGGGGACAGCACCGATTTGGGGGGGGCTCCAGGGGGACACCGGGGGTTTTGGGGTCCCACAGCGGGATCCCAATGGCTGGGGGGGGGGGGGGGGGGGCAACCAGAAGGACATCGGGGATTTGGGGCCCCACAGGGACATCACGGATTTGGGGCCCCACAGACGCATCCTGGGCATGGGGGGCACCGTGGTGGGGGGGGGTGGGGGTCACCCCAATTTCCCCTATTTCCCCCCCCCCCCCCGCAGAATTCCCAGCAGGAAACCCAAGGCAAAGTGAAAATGAAAACGAGCGGGGGCCCTGTTCCGGGAATCCCTGGGAGCGAGCGGTGGCCGCCGGGATCGCGCCCCCCCCCGGAACCCCACAGGCCTCCCAGCACCCCCCCCAGCACCCCCCCCCCACCCCCAAAAAATCCCCTTTTTGGCAGCCGGGGGTCCCTGGTTTGGGGTGCGGAGGTTTTTGGGGGGGGCTTCCAGGGAGACGCCGAGCCCCTCGCTGCACAACGCTTTATTTGGGAGCCATGCGGGGGGCAAAGTTTGGGGTTTTTTTGTATTTTTTTTTTTGGGGGGGGGGTCATGGGGGTAGGCGCGGGGGCCTCGCTGCTGCTCTGCCCCCCGGCCGCCCACCCTAGGGGGGCTGCAGAGCCCAGCTGGGGGGCTGGGGGGGCACGGCTGGGTGCTGGGGGGCGAAGGGGAGCTTGTTGTCCCCCCCCCCCGGCTGGGGACCCCCCCTTTTTGCCCTGTGGGCAGCTGCGGGCTGTGGGCGCCCCGTGCCGGCCTTCATCCTCCTCCTCCTCCTCCTCTTCATCCTCCTCATCCTCATCCTCCTTCTCCACGTGGGGGGGGCCCCCGGTCACGGCGGAGCCCCCGAGGAGCCCGGGGAAGGTTTTTTTTGGGGGGGGGCAGTGAGGACCCAACGGGAAGGGTTCGGTTTTGGGGAGCCCCCCTGGGTTGGGGGCTCCCAGCTGGGGTGGGGGGGGCAGCAGCGGCAGGGGGGGGCGGGGGGGGTGCAGGACGTGGCTGGGGAAGGGGGCCCAGTCTCGTAGGGGGGGGGTCAGCAGAGGGTGGGGGAAAGCGGCCAGGGGGGGGAACTCCTCGGGGTGGCAGCAGGAGCCCCCCAGGCACGGGGGGGACGCGGAGCCCAGCCCTGCGAGCAGCCAGAGGGACGGGGGGGCACCCTGAGAGCCTGGGTGCCGGCACCCCAGGGTGCTCCCCCCCCACCTCCCCCCCCACCCACCAACCCCCCCCCCCCCGTCCCCTTCTTTCCTTGCGCCTCGCCTGGGCCCCTGCACCCTGCGCCCCCCCCCCCGTGTCCCCGCCGCAGCCGCTGGGTGCTGCTGTGGGACCGGCAACGGCACCGCCCGCACCCGGCCCTGCTGAGAGCACCCGGGGGGGGGCAGAACCACGGCACCCACACACAGCACCCAGAGACACAGCACCCACTGCACCCAGCACCCAGCGACCCTGGGACACAGCGACCCGGCACCCACCGCCCCTGGCACCCACCAACCCCGGCACCCACCTCCACTGGCACCCACCGACCCAACACCCATGAACCCAGCACCCACTGACCCAGCACCCACCGACCCCAGCACCCACTAACATCACACCCACCAACCCCAGCACCCACCAACCCCGGAACCCACCGACCCAGCACCCATCTGCCCTGGCACCTACCAACCCGGCACCCACCTCCGCCAGCACTCACAGACTCCAGCACCCACCAGCCCCGGCACCCATCAACCCAGCACCAACCTCCCCTGGCACCCACCGACCCCAGCACCCACTGCCCCTGGCACCCACCACCCCCGGCACCCACCAACCCAGCATCCACCTCCACCACCACCCACCAGCACCCATCTACCCCAGCACCCACCAACCCCAGCACCCAGCAACCCCATCACCCATGAACCCAGCACCAACCTTCCCTGGCACCCACCAAACCAGCACCCACCTCCACTGGCACCCACTGACCCCAGCACCCACCAACCCAGCACCCACCTCCCCCAGCACCCACCAACCCCAGCACCCACCAACTCAGTACCCACCTTCACCAGCACCCAGCGACCCAGCACCCAGCGATCCTGGCACCCACAGACTCCAGCACCCACCAACCCCGGCACCCACTGACCCCGGCACCCATCTCCACCGGCACCCACCCACCCAGCACCCATATACCCTGGCACCCACCTCCCCCAGCACCCACCGGCACCCATCTACCCTGGCACCCACCGACCCTAACACCCACTGACCCCATCACCCACCTCCCCCAGCACCCACCGCCCCCCACCCCAGGCACCCCGCGGGTCCCCTCCCCGGCTGGGTGGCAGCGTGCGCAACGTTGGCACGGGCTGGGTGCACGCAGGTGGGCCCACCCTGAGCCGTGCCCACCCTGAGCTGTGCCCACCTTGAGCCATGCCCCCCCCGGGCCGTGCCCCCCCATGCCCCCCCCCAAAAAAAAACTTACGGCTCTTCTCCAGCACCTCAGGGTGCAGTGGGTGCCGGGGACCCCGTGCCCACACCAACGGCTCCACCAGCGCGCGTCGGCTCAGCACCACGTTCTGCACCAACTGCGGGGACCAACGGGGCCGTGACAGCTCCGGGGACAGGGACCGTGCCCCCCCCTGGGTCTGAGCCCCCCATACCTGGGTGGGCAGGGTGGGGGGCGCCAGTAGGGGGGGGCAGCGCGCGTCCCACAGCGGGCAGTTGACGAAGATGAGCTTGCTGAAGTTGAACCTGTAGGTGAAGCGCTTGCCCTTGGTCTTGTGCAGGATGCGCTTGTTGTAGTAGTACCTGGGGGGGGGAATTTGGGGGGGGGGTGTGTTAGCGGCACCGGGGGGGTCGGTGGGCACGTAGATGGATGGGTGGGGGGGTTTAATGAAATTCTGGGGATGTGGAGAGCTGTAGGGACCCCCTGGTTGTGTTCCTGCTGTCCCCATCCAGGGGCTGTGCGCATGGGGCCGGGACTTTGCGCTCCTGTGGCCACCGCGTCCCCGAGGGCTCTCGGTGTCCCCAATGGCTCACGGAGTCCCCCAGGGCTCTTGGTGTCCCCAGGGGATCTTGGTGTCCCCCAGGGCACTCAGTGCCCACCCCCCCAGGGTTTTCAGTGTTCCCCAGAGCTCTCAGTGTCCCCAAGGGCTCTTGGTGTCCCTGAGGGCACTCGGTGTCCCCGAGGGCTCTTGGTATCCCTGAGGGCACTCGGTGTCCCCAAGAACTCTCTTGGTGTCCCCAAGGGCTCTCAGTGTCCCCAAGGTCTCTTGGTGTCCCCAAGGGGTCTCAGTGTCCCCCAGGGCTCTCGGTGTCCCCCAGGGCTCTCGGTGTCCCCAAGAACTCTCTAGGCATACCCCAGGGCACTCAGTGTCCCTGAGGGCACTTGGTGCCCCCAAGAACTCTCTTGGTGACCCCGAGGGCTCTCAGTGTCCCCCAGGGCTCTGGGTATCCCCAAGGCCTCTCGGTGTCCCCAAGAAATCCCTCGGTGTCCCCAAGGTCTCTCAGTGTCCCCAAGGGCTCTTGGTGTCCCCCTGAGGTCTCTTGGTGTCCTTGAGGGCTCTTGGTGTCCCCAAGGGCTCTTGGTGTCCCCGAGGTCCCTCAGTGTTCCGAAGAGCTCTCAGTATCCCCGAGGGCTCTGGGTGTCCCCAGGGTCACTCAGTGTCCCCAGGGGCTCTTGGTGTTCCCAAGAACTCTCTTGGTGTCCCCCAGGACTCTTGGTGTCCCCAAGGGAACTCAGTGTCCCCCAGGGCTCTCGGTGTCCCTGAGGGCACTCGGTGTCCCCAAGAACTCTCTTGGTGTCCCCCAGGACTCTCGGTGTCCCCAAGGGCTCCTCGCCCCCCCCCCCCCCCCCCCCATTCCCTGCGGCACCTGAGGGCCCGGCTCAGCTTGTCGTAGTTCATCTGGGGCTTGCATTTCCGCCGGCCCCACAGCCGCGCCACCTCGTCGGGGTCCTTGATGACGAACTCCCCGTACTCGCCCTGCTGCCAGGCGATGACATGGCGGAACTCCTCCTTCTGCAGCAGCTCCAGGATGAAGTGCCAGAGCTGGATCTGCCGCGAGCCGGGGCTCGACTCGGCCTTGTACGCCCAGTCGGGGAAAGCCAGCCCTGGGGGGGCGAGCGGCGCGCGCTTAGAGCCCCCACCGGTGATGCCCCCGCTGCCCCCAACCCCGTGGGGTGGAGCGCTGGGGGCACTGGGTCCCGCTGGGCGCTCCCCAGTTTTCTCCCAGTTTGGCCGCGCTGGGCGCTCACCTGGTACCCAGTAGGAGCCGGGCAGGGTGGGCAGCGGGGGGGGCACGCAGCCGCACTGCATCCCGCAGCCTGCGGGCAGAAAGCAGAGGGGCAGGGGGGTCCCCAACCTGTCCATGCCGTGTCCCCTCGTGGGGACGGTCACCTCCTCGCCCACAGGGGCTGAACTGGGGGGCACTGGGGAGGGAGGGGGGGGGGCTGCAGTGTCGTGGTTGGGGGTCTTGGGGGGGTCCCGGGGCCACCAGCCCTTAGGATGGAGGATGCAGGAATTGGGACGGGGAAAACCCAGGATTTGGTCACCCCTGGCGCAGCAGCAGGGCAGATGGAGGGGTGCAGGTGGCACCCAGCACCCCAACAGGTTAAAACCCTCCAAATTCCCTGTTTTTCCTCTTTTTCTGGAGCAGCTGGGGGGGGGCATTTTGGGCCTCCCCATGTCCCAAAGCACCGCCGGTCCCCGGGGCACGGCCGCATCCTGCCCCACTCACCTGCGGCACCGCTGGGGACCCCGTCCTGGGCAGGGCGAGAGAAAGCATCTGAGGGTCTTAGGGAGAATCACTCCATATATACGGGGAGGGGGTGGGTTACGTGTAAATCTTCTTACCCCCCCCCGGCAGGAGCAGAGAAATTGCTGGAAAGGTGCAGGGGGAGCGGGGCTGGGCACTCAGGGGGCTCCCACGGTTGGATCCTGCCCCCACAGCCCCCCCCCGGTCCCTGCTCCCCCCCCCCCCCGTGCTGGAGGAAATTTCCTCCCGTGGAGGAGGGAATTAGCTCAGATAGAGGAGGAAATTTGGGGCATGGAAGGGAAAAGGATGGAGAGACCGAGCCCCGCTCGGGGCGCATCCCCTCGTGTTTGTTGGTGCACGGGAGGACGAGGGCTCGATGCGCCGTGATTTATCCGAGCGTGATTTGAGATTCAAGGGAAAACGGGGGAAAAAAAAAAAGGGAAAAAAAAAAATGGAAAAAAAAGGGAAAAAAAAAAGGGAAAAAAAAAGGGATGGGGGCGATGGGAGGTGGCGGAGGGGAGCTCGCCCCGTGCCGTGCCCCTCGGGGCGGGCTCGCTGCGGGCTCAGCCATGGGCCCGGCGCCGTCCCAGACGGGTAAATACAAGCGGGGCAATGCCGGGGTGTTTGGATTCGAGCAGAAATGCAAACAGGCCCCTGAGAACAGCAGATACAAAGGGCAGGAGGCGAAAAACCGCCCCGAGGGCTTGCTCGGCACCAAGCGGTTATGAAAATGACTTCTTGCCTTTTCTTCTTGCCTTTTCTTTCCTCCTTGTTTGCTCTCCTCATTTGCTTTTCTCTCCCCGCTTCTTTATTCTCCCTCATTAGCCGGGGCCTCGCCGCCTCTTTCAAGTCTCGCCGTGCCCAGGGCTGTGGGGTTAGGGCGCTCCCCCCCCCAAAAAAAGCCCTTTGGGGACCCCAGGGTGCGGGGCTGTCACCCTGGGGTGCCCCATGCAGGGGCAGAGGAGGGGAGCGGGGACGTGAGGGAGGAGGCGGCGGGCTCCGAATTGGGGCTGGGGTCCCGCTGCCCTGCTCAAGGCGCCCGGACACCTGGGTGTCCCCCCCCCTACAAACACGTCTGTGTGTCCGGGGTGAGATCTGGCCGGGTTCCTGCCCCTTTATCTCTCCCAAATCCCGCTCCAATCTCCTTAGCCAGCCCGCCCAGAACCTCGCGGGCATCGCGCGCGGAGCAGGCAGAGGTGAAGGGCCTGTTTGTTTAAAAGCATTTAATGCTATTAAAACAAGCGGCTTAGGGGCCATCGGAACAGCAAGGGGCAGGGGGAGTCCAGCAGGGTGGGCTGGGGGGCCCTGGGGCCACCCCCTGCGCCCCCATCCCAGGTTATGGGGCAGGGAGAGGGGCTGCCGGCCGTCCCCGTTCGCCAGAGCGATGGGGATGGAGCGGCACCAAAGCCACCCCTCGGTGAGAAAGTCCCTCCCCCCATTTCCCAGGGCTGGGAGCCCCCCCATGCCTCAGGGTCGGACCCCAGCCCCAAATCCGTCCCGGGCTCCGGTGCTCGCAGCGGTTTCCCTCCTTCCCTCCCTCTCCTTCCCTTCCTTCGGTCTCCAGGGGCTGTGGGATTTAAAAGGCTTTTGTAACGTGCTCAACCAGAAACCCTAACCCGGGAGGGACGCCGGAGACAGGGGGTGAAGGTCACTTCGGAAAGTCAAAGCCCCGTGAGCGTCCTGGAGAGGGGTCGGGGCCGGGGGGCTCTGCGCACCCCCAGCAAGCGGGAGCGACGCCGTCCCCGGCCCCCCGCTCCGTCCCCGCCGCGGGTGATGCCGCGGGAATTAAACGCGGGTCCCTAATGAGCAAAACCAAAACCTGGGATGGGAGCGGTGCCGAGCCGGGGCAGCGTGTCGGGGGCTGGATACGGCCACCGTGGGGCTGCAGGGTGCTGGGGACGGGGGACACGGGGACGCCGGCTGCTCCGGGACAGACACCGGGCTGAGAGCAGCCGCGCATCCCCGCTCCCCAACTCGCTCCTGCGACGGCTCCTGCGGAGGAGCAGGGCTGGGATTTGGGATGGGATATCAGCCACTGCATCCCCTGAGCCTGCTCCTAATCCCCAAAGCTCTTTGGGGTTTTCCCTCACTGCCTAAATCCGCTTCGGTGCTGGCGCAGCGGCACCGACCTGGCTGGACGCGAGCACCATGGGGATGCTCAGCCAGGGGGAACAATTCCCCAAACCCTCCTCCATCCCCTCCATCCCCTCAAATTTCCCCTTTTTCCCCCTTTTTCCCTTCTCTCCTGCAGGTCATCCAGCAGAGAGCCGCAGCCGAGTCCACCTGGAAGTTGTCTGCGGGGCGAGACCTCGGGGAAACCGGTGACGAACGCGCCGAGGCACCGAGCAGCCTCGGCGGCACGAGGCTGCCACCGCCGTGGTGACCCCGAGCATCCGCCACCACCCCCAAAGGACACCCCAAAAGCACCGGGGGAAGGAGCGGGGTGTCCGGGGACATCCCGTGCCCTGTGCTGAACGGGCACGGGACCTGCTCCGGGCACTGCTGGGGCTGGGATCCCCCCGGGACCCCCGATGCGCACGGCCGGGGCGCCTCGCGGCGGGACCCCTGGCACATCTCCTACCTCCCGGCTGCCGCTCGGCGTCCGCCTCCCCGACGCGCTCCTCGCCTCTGTCGCGCCCGACCCCGATGCATTTCATCGCACGCCGCGTTAGGGTTACTTAAAATGAAAACCCAGTCCTCGGCGCTCCCGGGAGGGCGGCCGTGGCTGCGGAGACAATCGCGTTAACCCCTCACCGGCCGCGGGCTGCCGACCGCTGCAGCCGCCCGATTGTGGCAGCCGTGGGCTCTTCCCCATCCTCCTCCTCCTCCTCCTCTTCCTCGCGGGCAATGGGGATGCCCCCGGGACCCTTTGTGCCCGATGCTGGGGTGGCACCCAAGGGACGGGGCTGGCAGTGGGATTGGGGGAAGCGGGTGGGACGCGCTGCCCGGGACGGGGTTCACCGGCCCCGGCAAACCTTGGAGCCACGCAACCGAGCACGAAGCCCAGAGGTGGCCAAATCACCAACAGCCCGACCCCGCTGGATGGCTCCGAGTTCATTCCCGCCTCGTTTTCCCCATCCAGACCTTTTTTTACAGGGACACAGAGGCACAGGGGCTGCTTTGCCCCAAGCCCGACACATCCCCAGCGGGATGCTCCATGGCCAGCCACCAGAGTAGGGGTTTGGGGTGGCCGCCAGGGCTGGGCACTGCCACCGGCTCCATCCTGGGATGCCACCAGGCACATGGGGTCTGCCACGGGCACAAAACCCCCGGAGGGCAGCGGGTTTCACCCACCCTACAAAGCCCCGGCTGCGGGAACGGCCCCGTTCCCCATCCCTTGGTTACTCGAGGGGCTCAGCTCCAGAGGAGGCAGCAGGGAGCAGCCCGGCCTCCTGATCGAGATGGGAGAAGCATTGCCGGGGAATTAAATTCTGGGGTTGTTTTCTGGTTAAATCAACCGAGGCTAACGTGATGGAAAGCGATACCGGGGTGGGGTGGTGGTGGTGATGGGGGGGGGGGGATGAGTGACAGGCGGGCGCGTGGCGGCACGGCCGGGGAGCGGGCGACGCACGAGGGCGCGGGGCAGGGCGGGAGGCAGCGGGACGCCGCTCGACGCCGCGGCACCTCCCGGGTTTTTGGGGCCGGGCTCGCCCCGATCCCAGGCGGAGCAGCGCCGCTGCCCGCGGCCCGAGCCCAGCCGGAGCCAGACGGACGCGCCCGGGCAGCGCGGCGGCCGGGTGGAGCCGCCGCTCGTTTCTTGCCGATCCAGGAGCTCGCTGCGAGTCCTGCAGGGCGTAGCCGGAGCGCGGCTGCCCACCCATTGCGACACCCTGAGCCACGGCGGCACGGTGCCAGGGCCCCGGGCGCCGCGAGCTTTTTGCCTACCAAAGCGCCGCGCGGGCTCCGGCTCCTTTTGCTTTCCCTCCCCTTAATTTTGGGAGGAATCGCCCGGGCGGCTCGCTATCTGTTCAGACTTGAACGGCTCCCCAGAGCGGCACGGGGAGGGAGCGGGGCCGCCAGCCCCACCACGCCAAGGGGACGGGGACCAGATCCCGGTCCCACGCCGCCGGCTCCGGGAGGTGCTGGGCGATGCTCCCGGGGCAGCCCCGAAGGCCCCAGGAGGGCAGCGGGGGGCACGCGCCTCCGCCTCCCCGTGCCCCCCCGTGATGGCCCTGGGGTCAACGTGTCATTTCTCACGGGTTAATTCCCTCCTTGCCCTCTCAAATTAAAATAATAGGAGGAGGTGGGGCAGGGAGGCAGAAAAAGGAGAGGGCACGGAGAGCCCCGCTCCGCGGGGTGGGAGCGGAGCCGATGGTGACCCCAAAAAGGGGCTCCAAGCGGTTGGGGTGTCTGTGTGGCCGTGAGAGGGAAATGGCCAAAAGCAAGGGAGGCGATGGCAGAAAGAAAAGGCAGAACTGGGACAAAAAGGGAGCGGGGAGGGAGGGAGCCATTGGGAAAAGGGAGCAGGAGCGAGAGGAGAGGAGCAGAGGGGATGGAAAATAGGCGAAGAGTGGGAAAAAAGGGGGCTGCAAGAGGAGGACAGGAGAAAAGTGAGCTGGAGAGAGAGGGGAGAAGGAGAAACGGCAGAAAAGGACGGGAACGCGAACGGGGGAGAGGAGAAAGGAGGCAGCAGCGGCAGCGGGGGTGCTGGGGGACTGCGCCAGAGCAGGATGCGGCCGGCACGCGGGGAGCGCACGCGCCTCTCCGGTCACCGAAGCCTCTTCACGTCCCATTAGCAGCAATGGAAGGTGACAGCTGCAGATCGATAACAATCGCGGCAACAGACTCGGCGTAATAAACCCATCTCGCTCACATTTCTGAGCGCCCCGGCCCCATCCAGCGCGACGTCGTGCTCGGCCCACGTGCCGGCCGGGATCGGGCCCCGGGGCTGCGCCGAGCCGGCGGAGGCGGCGGCGCCACTCGTCCCTCCTCCCCGCGGCTCCGCTGCCAAGGGAGGATTACGGCACCCGAGGCAGGACCGGGGCTGGAGGTGCTTTTAATTGCCCCGGCGTGCGACTGTGCCAGGAGGAGGCAGGGACGGGAGGAAAGAGCTGGGGGGGGTTCGGCGCAACCTGCGAATTTGGGGTCTCGGCAGGGTCCCCCCGCCGCCACCGCGGGAGCATCCTGGCAAAGTCACCCTGGGGATGGGATTTTGGGGAGCCCCCCGTCCTCCCTCCAGGCAGCACCGACCCCTGCGGCTGGTGGGCTTCACGCAAAGACCCGGGCGAGGTTTGAAAGCGAAGCCAGGCAGAGCTGCCCTCGGCCCGCGGCGCGTGGGGAGAAGGGTGCGGGGAATCCCCAGCGGGGCGCGGAGCCCTCCCACGCACCCAGCTGCGTGCGAGCCTCCCCCCAAAGCCGGGCACCCTTCACACATCGGCTTTGGGAAGCCCCCGAGCCGTTCCCCCACCCCTCAGCATTGGCCCCATAGGGATGCCCGGCCCCAAATTAGGGGTTTCGGTCCTGTGCACGCTGTGAGCGCCGCAGCTGGCCGGGGAGAAAGAGATTTGGGGACCCAAGATGCTCGGGGTGGGGGGGAGGAGGTGTTTTTTTTTTGTTGTCCCCCCCCAGCGTGTGCCTCTCGGTGCCGGGGAGCGGGGCTGGGAGCAGATAAAGCAGCGGCCAAATGAGAACTGAGATAAAGCAATTACCTGATCAATACGGGTGAAATTGAGTAATCTGGCAGATCAATAGCACCGGCCCCTCCCGCCCCGTGCCCTCCGCTGCGGAGCTGAGCACCCCCGAGGCTGCCGCGTGGGGCACGTCGCCCCCCCGGCCCCCCCCCCTCCCCACGGCAAGGACACGGGGACCCACAAAAAACCTTGGGGGGGGGTCAAGGAGATGGCAAGGAGACGCGGGGCGAGAAGCTGCCGATTCCCTGCTCCATCAGTGCCCCCCCTTTCCTCCCCTCTGGGGATTTGAGAGCCCCAAATCTCTGCGAACCCCCCCCAAAATATAAAAACCTCGCTGCTGCAGCTCTGGGAGAGGAAAGCGAGGGAAAGGGGAAGGGGGAGCTGGGCTGGGGGCTTTCCCGCAGCCCCCCCCGGCTCACGTCGCTGCCCTGAGCCCCCGCGCGGGGGCTTTGAACTCGGCTTTTGGCTGCGCCGGTGTTTGGAAAGGAGGGGGAGCACCTGGCCGGGAGCGCGCAGGCAGGCGAGGAGCCTCTAATCAGCTTTGCCATCAGCTCCAGGCTCCCAGAAAGAGCTGCTGGGGCCGCTTTGGAAAATTACTGCTTTGATTTTACTGGAAGTTTCTAAATACTCAGCTTTGGTTTTCCAGCTCGGGCCCAAACCTCCCTTTATTTTCCCTGGAAAGCAGACAGCGCTCGGCTTCGGAGAGGTTGGCGGGGGGGCTGGGAGAGGGCTCCCTTTTAATCACAAAATTGGAAAAGCAGCGGCGAAGCTGCCTTTTCCCTTCTCGTCGAGGAGCTGGAAGGGCGGCTGCAAAATTTGGGCTTTTCCCCTCGTTCCCCTGCCTGTTCCCTCTCCGGGGTGGGACCGAGCATCCCAAGCGAGCGCTCGGGGTGCGCGGATTTGGGAGGCGCACGGGGGATGTCTCCTGCAGCCCCCAAAGCTCCAGATCAGGGGAGAAAAAGCAGCTCCGCAGCCCGGGTTTGGACGGGGAGCATCGTCAGCACGTGGGCATTTTGGGAGACTCCAACCAGGCCCAGCTCGTGCTGAGGATGCCTCAAAACCTCGGGACGTTGGCCTCTGGTTCAGGGCACCCCACAAAAGCCCCGCACGGTGCCGACCCCGCAAGATGCGGCGAGAGCGAATTTGGGCACCCGCAGGCACAGAGCCCCCTGTGCCAGGGGTCTTCCATTCGCCACCTGAGGTCTGCTGGCACGGGAAGGGCTGGTAAGGGAAAATTCGCCCTCAGGACCCCAGCACAAGCATCCTGGGAATTACCAGGGGCTTAATTAAACGTGCACTGCTCGTTAGATTCGTTGTGGGTTGAGGAAAGGGAGAAGAAAACTCGAGCCAGGGCTGCCCCGGTCGCGGGAGCACAAGAAAAAGGCCTGGAAAGGGGACGGCGGCGACGCTGAGCTGCGTGGTGCAAGCACAGGGCCGGGAGCCAGCAGCTCCAGCCCCTAATCCCCTCCTGACACAGATCCCTCTCTGTGCTCAAGGAAAAAAAAATATAAAATAATAAAATCAAATCAAGCAGCCCCGTCCCGCCTCCCCAGACAGAGCGGGGCTGCTCCACGCCTCCCCTCGGCCCCTCTTCCCAAGCCCCTTTCCACTGCAGAAACGCACTTTAAAAAAAAAAAAAAAAACACAAATTGGCAAAAAGCCCGGTCAACAACGCGCTGATTTCAGGGCGTGGATTTCAGCCAGTTTTAGTTAAATTTAGTTTCAAACGGCCTCAAGAGCGGCGCAGCTGCCGAGCCAAGAGGCTCTGGCGCGAGGGATGTGCGGCAAAAACCCGATCCCCGTCCCGTGGAACACGAAGCCCGGCTGCCAACGCGGGCTGGGGGGGAAGAGGCTCTGCCCCGGCGTGATAGGAATGGGATCGCGATAGGAATGGGATCGCGATGGGAATGGGATCGCGATGGGAATGGGATGGGATCGGGACCAGACCCAGGACCCGCAGCGGCGCTCACCTGGGGCAGCGTCTCCTCCCTCGGGACCAAGGAGCCGGTGGCGGGTTGAGGAAACTCAGGGTGGGAGCCCCAAGAAGCGAGCTACGAGCAGAAATGCTTATTTAAAAGGTTTATTTAACTTTTAATTTGAGGTAAAATACTTTTTTTTTTTTTTCTTTCAACTTCCATAACAAAATACAGAGCTATCAGATACCCCTGGAAAAAATATGTATATTATACATATATTTCTATAACATTACATCATATATATATAATATATATATGCAAACTTTTTGTTTTTTTTTGAAGACTTTATAGAAAGTGGAACGTCTAAAGGCACTGCACAATGGAGTATTTAAGGACTACTTTACATTGTTATGTACATATACACACACACTGCTCATCCTGCTCGCCGTGGACAGCTCAAGCCAACCAAGTCCCCGCCCGTATGTGTATGCATCCCTACTAATCCCTGCTGAATCGAGTCTAGGAAAGTCAAAGAACATGCCTCAGGAAAAGTGTTTTTTTTTTTTTAAAAAAAAGAAAATTTTCTATCGGTAAATACGCTCTCCTTAAAAACACTCTAAAATCGAACTTTGTCTCGAAAAACAAATCTGATTACGATTATTTCAAACCAAAAGAAACTCATTTTTTTTTTTTTTTTAAAACCCACCAGGATCCATAAGACAAAAAAAAAGAAAAAAAAGTTATTTTACAAACAAAAAAACATAATTATGGAATAAATAAAAACAAGGGACAACCGAGCGCGGGCTGGAAAGGTCCCGCGGGGACCCAGGGGGCCGCCGCCGTGGTTAATGCTTCTGGGGGGGGGCTCCTCCGCCGTGCGCCCCCGTGGCCGTGCCGAGACCCCCGTGGGGATCACGGGGTGGGGGGGGTCCAGGTCGGGGGCTGCAGCGCTTGGAGTCTCGGGGCCCGGCGGGTCCGCGGGACGTGCTCACCGCTCCGGGCAGACGCGTGGCTAATCCTCCCTGCCCTGTCTTGATCGGGTTATTTTTTCCCCCAAAACTCTCGGCTTGGCGGCTGGTTGTCCGATTAAAGTCTCTTTTCCTACAGATTCTCTACGACTAAACAAAGCAAAAAAAAAAAAAAACAAAAAACAATGGTTTAAACATTAACATGCTCTTGATTAATTAATACAGGTGGACGTTGAGATCTCAACCATTTAAACTTTACAAGTTTAAATATTTTGGCACATCGGAATATATATAATTTTTTTTTTTTTCCTTTTCTTATTTAAAACGTTATTTATAAGCGTGCTCCCCCCCCCCCTCGGGGCGACGCCGCCTGGCCGGGAGGAGCCCCAGCCTTGCACCGCGGTGACCCCTGAGCCAGCGGGGACATGGGTGGCACTGCCGGGGATTTATTTTGTTTTTTTTTTTGGGGGAGGGGGGGGTTCCTGGTCCCCCCCCCCCGTACCCCGAGGCGCAGCCCACCGCCCGCAGCCGGTCCCTGGTCCGTTGTCCTGAGAACCTGAGTCCTTTATCCCTGAACGCGGAGCTCCCGGTTTGCAGTGCAATGGCTATGAAGAAACAACCCCCCCCCCCCAAAAAAAAAAAAACAAAAATACCCCAGCCCCCAAACCGAAGGGTTTTAAAGCCAAAACGACGGTCCAACTCCATTCGTTTCTTGGGTTTTTTTTTTCTTTTTTTTCCACCTTAAAGAAGTGCGACCAAGGCGGTGCCCCCCCCGAATGGGAGCAGCACCCGCGGGCTCCGGCACTTGGGTCACGAGGGGGGGGGGGGGCGCCGAGACGCTTATAGGGTGGGGGGGGCAAAGGCCTCGTGTTTCTAATTCCTGAGTTCACGCTGACGGCGGGGCTGCGGGGAAGGGACAGGAGGGCGAGGGTCCCAGGGGCTCCCTCCCCGCTCCTCCGGGCCTCGGAGGTAAATCAGGGGGACGAGGCAGCCCGGGCTTGGGGTTTGGGGGGGGGACACAAGCCGTAGCCCCCTCCCCGGCTCCCCCTGAGCCCCTTCCTCGTGCGGTGCCGGCGTTTCCCTGCCTACCAGCGCACGCCAACACCCTGGTGCTCGCGCTCCCTGCCCTTTTTTCACCAGTTCCTGAGCCCTCGACTGCAGAAATCCGCCCGCACGAGGCGCTGGCCGGGAACCGCGTGGAATTCGTCGCGCCGTGGATTCGGCTCTACCCATTTTTGTTTTTGTTTTTTTTAAAAATGTTCCTTTCAAGGAATCGTTCGCGATCCGTCCTGATGGCAGCGGGAGGGAGCCGCGTTTCCTCGGCGTAAATCCGGAGCCTGAGTTAAATCAGCCTAACGAGAGACGCGGCCACGGAGGGAAAAGAGAAAAATTTCGAGCAAAACCGCAGCGAGATCGACGCTGACAACGCCTCGAGAGCAGCTCCCGGCTGCCCCGGGGGGGGGCTCCTGCAGCCACCAGGCTCAGCCCCCCCTCACCAAGGAGCCCGAGCTCGGCCACGCGCCCCTGGCACCCGCACGGGCTCCTCCTGTCAGCAGCCCCTGCTCTCCTAAAGTGTACACAGACTTAGTTAAGGCATGAGTCAAAGTGATAGGGGAACCAAACAAAGGAAATAGGATTGAACAAAGCTCCTGTCATTCCTTCTCTATGAACTCACCACAATCGTTTCAGTGTTAATCTTCCAATCACTCCCAGCTCCACCCATACAATTACGAAAAGAAAAAAAAAAAAAAAAAACAAAAAAAAAAAACAACCTAGGGTACATTTTAATGCATGTATTAAAGGCATCGGGTTAATTTTTTTTTTTTTTTTCCCACCCCACTCCCTTCCCTGAAAGATTCTGCGATCTGCTCATGGCTTCTGCACTATTTCTGAAAGGCCAAAAAAAAAGGACGCCAGCCCTAGCCCGGAGCGCTCCCGGGACCCGCTCGCCGCCGTCCCACCTCCCCGCTGCCTGGGGGGGGGCTCGGAGATGTCCCCCCCCCTGTGCCCGGCTGCGGCGCGAGGACCGTGTGGGATCGGAGATTTCCTCTCCCCTGCCCCTCCCGGCGCATCTCGGAGCGTCAGGAAATCCTCTCCCGCCATCGCGCCGGACTCCGTCAAAAAAAAAAAAATCAAAACCAAAAGAATAACAACAACAACACCAAAAAAAAAAAAAAAAGGGAACTAGATGAATTCCGAGATTGCCGCTTCTATAAATACTAGAGCACACGGAAAAGAGGCTGCGCCTGGAGTCCCTCCGCCTCGGGGGGGTTGGGGGGGGGGAGGCCTCCTCGACCCCCTCCGGAGTCCGCAGCTCAACGCCTGCCCTCGCCTCTCCTACTCGGAACGAGACAACCGCGTCTCACCTGCAAGTCAACAAGGAAAACAAAGAACACAACCCCCTAGTCTCTACGATTACCAAACCAGTCTAGCCCCCAGCACCCCCCCCCCCCACAACCCTCCCCGGCCCACCCGTGTTTTGTTTTTTTCTGTATTTTTTTTTTTTTTTAACCCCCCCTCCCCAACGCTCTGCAACCTTGCTACATAAATACACGGCCGGCTCAGCCCCGGCCCGTTTTAGGCGTCGGAGGCGGCGGCGGCCGCCACGGCCTTGGGTCCGGCCGCCAGGTGGGGGCTGCCCAGCGCCCCGTGCCAGTGGAGGCGGCCGTTGGGGCGCTCCTCGGGGGGGTCCGCCTGCCGGTCCCCGTTCCAGCGGCGCTTCAGACGCAGCTTGGGGGGCATCAGGGCGTCCTCCCTCTTCTCCTGAGCCCCCGGCTCTCCGGCGGGCTCTCTGGGCGCCTTCTCGCCGCTGCTCTCCCCTTGCTCCTGCGGCTCTTCGGCCGGGAAGGCGGCCTGGCTGGAGGTTGGGGGGGTTGGGTGCCAGGATGGGGCGGCCGGTCTGGCAAACACGGGGCCTTTCTCCTCTTCCAGGCCGACGCCGGGCGCTGCTGCCATGCCGGAGCCTTCCTCCTTCTCGTTTTTGTCTTTCCCTTTGGCGGGCGGCTCTTCGCGCTCGGCTTCCTTGTCCACCGAGGGCTCGACCTTCACCCTGGGGGGAGGACTGGCGAGCTGGGGGGTGGCCGACTCCTCGGCGCTTTCCAGTCTCTCCCTGTTTTTGCGCCCGACGGGGGGAGGCTGCAGCTTGATGGGGAACTGGGGCTGCTCCTCCAGGGGCATTTGGCACTGTAGTGGCGGGACCACGAGCCCCGGATAGCGGGGGAAAGTCCGCGGGCTCAGGTGGTAGTTGAAGACCGAGCAAGCTTGCGAATGCAGGTAGTGTTTCATCTCCTCGGGGTTAAAAGAGAAGCAGCTGCTGCCCGTGAAGGGGCTGAGGCCTGGAGAGGGGCTGTAGGAGAAGAGGGTGGGCGTCAGGGACAAGGCGGGCGAGATGGGGACGTTGAGGACCCCGCCGCGGCCCGGCAGAGGGGACACAGCAAAGGGGCTGTGAGGATCCGGGTAAATCCCGGGCCTGGTGAAGAGGGGCAGCATGATTTCGGGCTTGCGCTTCTGGTGGTTGATGCCCCCGGCGCCCACGGCGTTGCGCGAGGCCATGAGATCCACGCCGCGGCGCCAATCCGAGGAGCCGTCCTCCAGCTCCGGCAGCTCGGGCTTCCTCTCGCCGCCGTCTCCCAAAGCTTCTGGGTTGGAAGGGACCAGGGAGGGGCCGGAGAAGCGGCCGGGCTGGGCATCCTCGGTGGGAGAGTGGCTGTCCAGCGGTGGGAAATGGAACCGGGACGAGGCCGTGGGGACAGGAGGAGCGCTCTGCGGCACCACACCTGGGGCAAGGGGAAAGAGGGGAGAAAAAAAAGGGGGGAAGAGAGTTAAAAGGGCGCCGAGGGAGTTAAATCCCAGGTGAAGAGCTGCTTTTCGGGCTGCGCCCGCAGGCGTTTGGAAGAGCAACACAAAAATACCACGCGCCATCAACAGCGCAGCAGACGAGGGGATGGGAGGCGCCTTCCCCATCTGCTCCCTTCTCCCGTCTCCTCTGCCCACCTCAAAACCTCGCCGCTGCTGGGGAGGAATCTTCTCCTCCCCGCCCCGGCGGAGGTTTCTCGAACCTCCGGCACCACCAAAGGAGCTTCTACTTTCGGGCGCTCTCCCCTGAGCTCTGCTTTAACCAGAAAACAGCCTCGGTGACAGGCTGAGGCAACCCCACACCAACGCCACCCGCAGAGGCACTGCTGGGGAGCCTCAAGCTCTCGGGGTGGAACAAAAATCCCCAATTTGGGCTTTCCTGCGAGGACATTGCCCCCCAACAGTTCCGCCAGCAGCGCTGCCGGCTCCTGCTGGCTCCAACTCCCCAGGCTCCTGAGCAGGCTCCCGGTGCGGTGCCTGCAGAGCCAGCGCGAAGCCAGTTCCTCCAGGCGCCTTCTCACCTCCGTCACTCGCCGTCCCCTTCCCCTCTCCCTTCAAAGCTGCGGGAGCGAGAGTCAAGAAACCTGATTCCAGTGCCCCAAAACAGGTTTGATATCCCAACCCCCATCCCAGCCAGAAGGAAAGAAAACAGGTTGTAATTAGACAAGTGCATTCCAGTTCTCCAAACTTCTTTTTTTAAATGCATGCCCCAGAGATAGGAGGGAGTGGCTGCAAACAGGGAAAAGGAACAGCAGTGAGCAATATTGAGCTGGAACTGCCCAGACTTGTTGCTGCAAGTAATTATAGATTTGCAGCGCAGCTTCGTACTACATCTTACACCCCCATGCTTTGGCTGAGGGCTCCTGGAGAATACATTTCCCTCTCCCCGCTGCCGTAAAGGCAACGTGTGCCACACAGGTGAGGCCTTTCGGGGCATTTCTGCTCTTTCTGGGCTCCTGCTGGCTCGGAGGACAACGCCTCGCTGTCACACTCGTGCTCTCCTGCCTGCCTGGGGCTCCCCGGGGCGGAGAGGGATGCGGGGTGCTCCGACTGCCAAGAGCAGCGAGCAGTCATCGCCGTACGTAGGCACAGAGCACAGCAGCGCCGATGAGAAATCGCTTTGCCCACACGTAACCTGTTTTTCTCAGCCGCTGGGGTTTCAGAGGCAACATTCAATCCCCACTTTCCCCTGCTCTCTCCCTTCTCCCTCCCTTTCTCTCTCTCTCTCTGCGAGACAGATCTTCAAGGCTTCCCCTGAGGCACTCTTCTGGAGGTGAGAACTGAGCGCGCGGCGCTGTGAGAAAGGCTGGCTCAGGCGCCTCTGCAGTCACGCTTTCTTTGCTGCGGAGAGTTTGCAGTCTAGGGCCTCGCTGTAATGACTTCCAGAAGGGTTTTTTTTTTTTTTGATGGCCACGATCGCCATCAATTTCCCCGGCTGCGTGGTGGCGGTGCAGCTCTGCAGGCAATCACCCCGGCTGCAGAAATCTAGCTACGGGGGGATTTAACTCCCCCAGAAAGGATCCTGCGAACAAAGGACCCTCTTCCAGAGAAACCACAGCAGTAATGCTGACTCTAGGACAAACCCAGCGTGAACTTCTGCTACTGCTCCTGGCAAGAGACTCAAAGGCCTTTTAGGACAAGCAGGGAACAATTACGCTCCGTTCCCAAACTCTTTCTCGTTATCCTGAATGTCAGCACGCCGCGGTGCCGCAGGGAGGATCGAGAAATACCTGTGATTTTAGTCAAACTCAGACGAGTTCCTGCGCTTCTCTGGAAGCTAGAGAAATGCTCGGAGCTCACTCCTGGGTTTCTTTGCACCCTAGGTATGTCGATTAAAAAAAAAAAAACACCTCCTTTTGATGCGGAAGGCGCGGAGCTGCAACCAAACTGGGGGGTTTTGCAGGAGAGGGGAGGAGAGCAGAGCGCTGCTGAGCCGCAGGCTTTGGGATCGTGCTGCCACAAACACCCCTAAGCTCCTGGTCAAGGAGGCTCGCGTTTATAGGGCACCATAAACTCCGGTTCCAAACATGTGAGGCAAGAGAAATAAAACCCTCTTATCCCAAGGACACCCGGCCCCTAGGAGCGAAAGCAAAGCAAACCCGCGGCTTGGTGCCGGGCAGCCCAGAAGAGGAAACCAAACCTCCTGGAGGCTCCCCTGGGGACGGCCACAGCCACCCCGAGGGAAGGAGCAGCGCAGATAAAGCTTTATCAGCGCCCAGGCATCCCCACCGCACCGCAGCGGCCCTGATTGCCCCAGCAGAGCCTTCCAAAAGCAGATGAGCGATACGGGGGGGGACCTGCGGAGGTTTCTGCGCCTGCCCCGGCCCCCAGGCTCACCGTTGGGACGGATGTTGATGAAGGGGTAGTTGGGCATCACCAGCTTGTTGAAGTTGAACTTGTAGGTGAACCTTTTGCCTTTAGTCTTGTGGAGGATCCTCTTGTTGTAGTAGTATCTGGTAAAAAGAAAAAAGGCAGGGAGAGCCATCAGGGCACGTGGCAACCCGGCCAAAGGTCTTGTTTTCGCAGCGCGACCGACGGCCACCTTTGACACGGCCGCCGAGAGGCAGAACTGACAGCAGGAAGACACGAAAACACGGGCTCGGGAAGGTTCCACACGGTCCTCGCCCCTCCTATCCCATGATTTTTAGGGGTGGCTTTCAAACCGTGACATTCCCTAAAACACGGGGGGAAAGGGGCGACCCTGAGGTCCAAACTGTCCAAACTGGGACCGGTGCCGTGGGCTGGGGGGGCTCGCGAAAGCACCCCCAGACGCAGGAGGCAGCCTGAAAAAGGGGAATTTGCACCCGAGGCATCAGCAGAACGAAGCTCGGGGTGGTCCCACAGCCAAGAAGGGACCCAGCTCCCCAGCCCCCCCTGGGTTTTGTTTTTCCCCCCACCCTGGAGGCCCTGCACGGTGTCACCAGCAGCACAGGGGGCACCAGGCTGGAAATTAGGAGGGCCAGTCCCTGCTGCTGGACTCACGAGCGAGGAATTTATTTCCCTCCTGTTTACCCAGAGCACCACAGGGTTAAAAACATTCCCTCATTCGCCCAGGCAGTGCTGATCGGGGCTGAGGAGAGGCACCCAGAGCCAGCACCAAGCCCTGCCCGGTCTCCTTCCCCTCCTGCCCCTTTTTTTTTGGGCTCTCCACAGCCCCAAACGACGTCGGAGCGAGGAGGAACTCGGCCACGGGGAAAGGAGGCATAATCTGCAGCGCTGCCTCCTCCCTGCTTACACCACTCCTGTTTGTCCTCAGCCTCGTGGTGTACAAACAGAAGCTGTTGCAGGCGGCTCAGGGCCACGGTCGCACCAAAAGGGGCAGGGAGGGCTCCTGGCAGCAGGGGGGGCGAGGAGCCCAAGCTCCCCAGGGGGAGCCCTGGTCCCTGCCGCTGTCACACTTGGCACCGAGACGCCGAGGCATGATCAGTGTTGGCAGGTGGTGGCTATTTTCCACTCCCATGCCTCAATTACGGCCTCGGTGCCATTCAATTTATCGTTTCCTTCCTGTTCCAGCATGGGACTGGGCTGTTTGCTGCCTTGTTTGCCTTCGCCAGCTCCACCCAGGAGGTATCAGAGGGCGTAAGGCAGCGAAGTCCACGTTCCCGAGCGGGCTGATAACGCCAGGACCTGTCAGGGACCTGGCTGCTCCTGACAGGCTTCGACTCAGTGAATTCTGCGAGATTTTTTGCTGCCTCGCTTCAAAAAAAATCAAAAAAACAAACTGTGAGAGCCAAAATGAAAGGGAGCAAAGTTTTAGCGGTGGTTTTAGAGTTATGAAGTGCAGGACGAGGGACACTCAGCCCTCGTCTCCAGCACAAGGTGCCCTTCAGCCCCACGGGGGCTCAGGGAACGTGTCCCCGCGGCGTGAGCAGCACCCAGGGGTGCTCCCAGGCGGCTCCGGCCCCCCCTGCGGCACCGGGAGCAGGTTTGGCAGCCAAGAGGCGAGCCCGAGAAATGTTAGAAAGGGGAGTTGCTTTCTCTGAAACGGTCCCATCGATGGTGTGATAATGGAGTAACACCTCTGGTTTCCTCCCACACCTTCTTGCTCAAGCCGGCAGCGGCGATGGGAGAGGAGAAAAGAGGCAGAAAAGCTCCCCGGAAGGAAGGCGGCCCCGCTAATAACCACCTGAGCCATCGGTGCGGGTTCGTGCCACCGTGGAACACGTCACGGGCAGCCAGGAATTCCCTTCCCTGCCTCTCCGATCGCACCCAGAGGTCTGATTTGATGGAAACTTCCCCGAAACGCACCCGGATCGGGGCAGGGCACTGAGGTCAGCCCACCCGAAATGGGTCGGGGGGCGTCCCGCTCACCTGAGGGCCCGGCTCAGCTTGTCGTAGTTCATCTGGGGCTTGCATTTCCGCCGGCCCCACAGCCGCGCCACCTCGTCGGGGTCCTTGATGACGAACTCCCCGTACTCGCCCTGCTGCCAGGCGATGACATGGCGGAACTCCTCCTTCTGCAGCAGCTCCAGGATGAAGTGCCAGAGCTGGATCTGCCGCGAGCCGGGGCTCGACTCGGTCTTGTACGCCCACTCGGGGAAGTGATAACCTTGGGGGGTGCCAGGGAGAGGCGCTCAGGGGGCCGCCCGCGGCTCCAGGGCTCGCCAGCACCGGTTCTGGCACCGAGCGCCTGCGCTGCGGGTGTGTGGGGTTCACCCCAAAGCAGGGCCATGAGCTGGGAGCCCCCCCACAGCCCCCGTGCAGAGGCAGAAAAAAGCCCAGCACGCACACCCCGTGCAGAGGCAGAAAAAAGCCCGGCTCCCTCGCTCGAAGCCGCTCGCTTCTCTTACTCATTTCGCCCCACTCTCCTTGGAGGAGCTCCAAAAGGGAAAAAAAAAAAAAAAAAAAAGGCAAAACTTAAAGGGACATAAAAAAAAACAACACAGAAAGAAAAGAAATAGTGGGAAGAAACCCAACAGCTTCAAATAGCGCTACGATTTGGGCTCCAGGTGCTTCACACGACCCAAAAAGGGCCGGATTTGGGTGTTTGGTGCTCAAAATGGGGAGGGAGGCGAGCGGAGGGTGGCTGCCGGGGACACCGGGCGAGCACGGCACCCGGCACGGAGCCGGCCGCGCCGCCAGATGTTTCTGAGCGGCTGCCAACCCAGCCGAGCTTTTGTCAGAGCACTTTTCCCAGCACAGCTGCCGGAGACGCGGTTTTCCAAATCGTCGCCGCCGCAATTTTCGGCTGGGGGCAGCGCGCGCGGAGCCTGGCCGTGCCCAGACGGCCCCGTCAAAGAAAAAAACAACCACGGGGGGGGGGGCCGGGAGGGGGGAGGGAAACCCGGCGGGGAGATCCTCGTGCCTAAATTTATTCATCCTAACAAATAAAACGTCCCCGGGTGGATTCAGGCGTTAAATCTGGAAGTTTTTAGGGTGTTAAAAGGAGTTGGGGGCGCACGGGGGGGGCTTCCCACACACGGTTTCACCGAGGTTTTTTTTTTTTGAGGGGGGGGGGGGATTGATCCGAGCTCCATGGGGCTGGGAAGGGGCTTGGGGGCGGGCTGGGGGCTGCGTGGCGCTGCCTTACCTCCTCCTCCTTCTGCCTTATCCACGATGCTGCAGCCCGCTTTCATTTTCTCCCTCCTGCTGGCTGGGGAACAGAAGGAGATCAGCCCCGGCCAGCCCCGGGCTGCCCCCCCCACCCCGTTACCGTTCCCCTCCCGTCACACCGGGCCCCGGGGGGGGGAGCTAAACCTGACAAATACCCTTCAGGGAACCGGGCAGCGGTGCCAAAACCAAACCAAACCAAACGCGGGGAGGGGGGGGGCGCCCCCGGTTACCGGGAGGGAGCTCGCAGCTGGCTCCGATCCCGGGACGGGGCTCGGGGCTCGGTACCGGGGGGGGGGAAAAGGGGCACAAAACGCGGTCCCGGTGCCCGGGGGGGGGGGGGTGTCTGCCAGCCCTGCCCGCCCCCGCTCCGTCCCCGCCGGGGTTTCCTGCTCGGCGCCGCCGCTCCGCCATGGGAACGGCCTCGGGGCCGCCCCCGGGGCTCCCGTTACAGCGCCGCCACCCGGGCCGGGGCTCCCCGCTCGGGCTGGCCCCGTTCCCACCCCCCCGTTCTCCCCGTTCCAACCCCCAATTCCCGTCCCCGTCCCCCCCCTCACCCCCGGTACCCCCGGTACCCCCCAACCCCCCCCCTCACCCCCGGGCCCTCCCTTAGCAACGCGGCCTCCCCCCCACCCCCCCTTTTTAACCCCCCCCCGGGCCGGGCCCGGTTCCCGGTTCCCAGCTCCCGGTTCCCGTTTCCCGGTGCCGCTCCCCGGGACCCACCTGCGGGGGCGGAGCGGGGGGGCGGAGGGCGGCGGAGCGCGGCCGGGCCGCGGTGCCGATGTGGGTCTCGCCTCGCTGCTGCCGCCGCCGCCGCCGCCGCCGCCGCTGCCTCCCCCGCACGGCCGCCGCCGGAACCGGAAGCGCCGCCGCCGCCCACACACTTCCGGGCGCGCTCCCGTCCCCTCCCCTCCTCCTCGTAGCAACCCCGCCCTCCGCCCGCTTCCGCTTCCGGCTTTGCGTCCGCGGCGGGAGCGCGCACGCACGGCCCCGCCCCCCTTCTCCCCGCCCCCCTTCCCCTTCCCGCCGCCCGCCGACGGGTGGCGCTGAGGGACAAAAGAGGGCGGAAAGCGAAGCGGCCCCTTTTTTCCTGTCCCCCCACCCCAAATTTCCAAAATTTCCCAAATTTTAGGGTTTAGCCCCCCCCCCCAGAGCCTCCCCGCCCCCCCCACGCACACAGACGCCGCCTCCTCTGTTTCCAACCGCCTTTATTGGGGTCCTGCCGACCCCCTGCTTTTGGGGAGGGGAGGGGAGAGGAAATGGGGGGAAATAAAGCAAAAATGGGTAAAAAGGGCCGCGTGTCCGCCTGTCTGTCCGGCCGTCTGTCCGTCTGTCCGTGGTCCTGCTGCTCAGGCCTGCGGCTGGGCCAGGCTACGCGTGCCGGCCCCCACCTCGCTGTAGATGGTTCTGAGGGGGGCACTGGGCTGGGGGGGCTGCGGGGACAGGAACGGGGTCGGGATGGGACCCCCAGTGGGGACAGCCCCGTGGTCACCCCATGGGGCAGCCCCAGGACCCCCCCTATAGGGGACAGACCCCAGACAGCCCCGTGGGGACAGCCCTAGGACCCCCTACAGGGTACAGCCCCGGGGTCCCTCCATGGAGACAGCCCCAGGACTCCCCTGTGGGGACAGTCCCAGGGTCACCCCCTAGGGACAGCCCCGGGACCCCCCTGTGAGGACAGACCGAGGACCCCTCATGGGAACAGTCCCAGGGTCACCCCGTAGGGACAGTCCCGAGACCCCCCATGGGGGCAGCCCTGGGACCCCCTATAGGGGACAGCCCCAGGGTCACCCCCTAGGGACAGCCCCAGGACCCCCTGTAGGGACAGTATTGGGGTCCCCCCATAGGGACAGCCCTGAGACCCCCCCCCCATGGGGACAGCACACCAGGACCTCCCCGTGGGGACAGCACCGGGACCCCCCCCGTGGGGACAGGGCCAGGACCCCCTATAGAGACAACCCCAGGACCCCCGTGTGGGGACACCACCAGGATCCCCTCATGGGGACAGCCCCGGGACCCCCCCATAGGGACAGCATTGGGGTCCTCCCATAGGGACAGCCCCGAGACCCCCCCATGGGGACAGCATCAGGGTCCCCTCATAGGGAGAACCCCAGGACCCCCCCCCCCCATGGGGACGGCCCCGAGATTCTCCCTGTGAGGACATCCCCAGGACCCCTACAGGGGACAGCAGCAGGATCCCCTCATGGGGACATCCCCGGGCCCCCCCCCATGGGGACAGCCCCGTCCCCAACCCCTGCCTTATGGGGCCGTGGGGGCCCCCCCAGCCTCACCGCCTCGTCCTCCTTGGCGGGGCCTCTCCTGGGGACCTGCGCGTACTGCGGCTCCTCCGCCACGCCGGGGGCTGCAGGGGAGAGACGAGCTGGGACCACAGGGACCCCCCCCCAGCCCTGGGGACACCGCACCCCTTTTTAGGGTCCCCGTTGAGGTCCCCACCTCCTTCATCCGCCTTCCTCCTCCTCCTCCTCAGGCAGCACAGGATGCTCAGCGGGCCCGCGATGGCAGCCAGCACCCCCAGGCAGATGGCCCACCTCTGCCTGCCTCCCTCTGCGGGGACAAATTTTGGGGTGGTGGGTGGCTGGAAGACCCCCCAAAACCCTAAAATAACAGTGGAGGGGGATGTGGGGGGGCTTTACCAATCTGGCACAGGGCGCTGAGGCTGACGGAGCTGCTCTGCTCCTCGGCAGGGCTTCGAGCCACGCAGGTGTAGGTGGCATTGAGGGCGTCGGGGGGGATGGCCAGAAATAGGGTCTGGTCGTCCCCGCTGTGTTCCCACAGTGTCCCCGAGATGTTGTAGAGGTGCCAGGAGGTTCGAGCGATGGCGGTGGGGGGCAGCGAGCAGCGCAGGGTGACGTTACAGCCCTGGGGGCTACGGGACAGGAGCTGGGTTTGGATCTGCGGTGTTGGCACCGGGTCTGGTGGCGGCACGGAAAAAAAAAAAAAAAAACCCTACTGGGACCCAGCCCCTGCACCCCCGGCACCCCGAGAGGGCCGGGCAGCCAAAGGGCAGGAGATGGAGCCGCAGGTGGAGCACGGAGCCGTCACCGCTCCAGGAAAATCCCCTTTCCCCTGGCAGATGCTGGGCGGTTTCTCTTCCCCTTCCCCTCCCGGCACAAAAGGGCTTTGTCGCCTCTCCCTGCCGGCTGCAAACCCCAGGAGCGCTTCCCAGTACCCCCCCAGTGCTGGTTCCAGTTGCTCACCGTAGACGGAGAGGTTGAAGTCTTGGTCCTCCACTTCCGTCGTGCTGTTGTATTTGATCAACACCTCGTAGACCCCGCTGTCCCCTGGCTCCAGCCCCCCGATCCTCAGCGCCGTGGCGTTGGGCATCTCCAGCCGCTGCTGGAAGCGGTCGTGGGGGTTGGGGCGCTCGAACCCTTTGGGGCCAAACTCCGCCACTTGAATTTTTTTCCTGGTGCCTCCCATGAAGTACCACTCGGCCGTCTTCACCTCGAAGCTGTGGGACAGCACCGGGGAGAGCAGCACCGAGCCCCCCAGGATCCCGCTCACCGGCTGCGGCTGGGCGCCTGCGGAGCCTGCATGGGGACAGCGGGGGTCAGGGAAGAAGCAGAGCCCCGAGCACCCCTCATCCTCCACCCCTCACCTCCAGCACCCCCAGGTTTTCACCCCTTCCCCCCCCCCTCCTGTCGGAGCCACGAGCCGAATTTTGGGGTGCAGGCAGCTCTGCAAGCAGCACCCTATTTCCAGCGGGGTCGCGGAGCTGCCGTGACGCCAGGAGGGGCGGGATGCGGCTCCGAGACGCAAAAAGCTGCATCCCCCGTCCCCCGTCCCCCCCCCACATCACAAACCCCCGTCCTGCGCCGGCCGCTCGCTTCCTGTGCCCCGCTCGGGGCCGGCCACGCGTTTCCCACCCGCTGCCGGTGCAGCCGCGCTCCGGCCGGGGCCGCTTTGGTTTTTGGGGGGAGGAAGGCGCCGCTGTAGGGCTGGCAGGCGGCAAAAAAAGTGTGGGGCTGTGCGTGGGGGGGGGCTCCCACGGTGCCCTCCCAATGTTTTGGGGACGCTGATGCAGAGCGAGCCCGTGTCACCGCCGCTCGCCCCCAGTGGCAGCGAGCTGCCCGCTGGTGTTTTGCCCCAAACAAAGGGCAGTGGCCCTGGCTTTACCCCAAAACACAAAACTCGGCGTTTCCCAGCTGGAACCTGCCCTGGGGAGCTCCTGAGTGATGTCTGCTTGTCCCCGTCCCCATCCCCAAAACCCTCACCCCACAGAGCTGGAGCCTTTTGGGCGGTGGTGGCTGTGTCCCCCCCTGGTTCTCCAGGTGCCCCCAATTTTGGGGGCTGCTGGAGAGCCCGGCTGTGGTCCTGGCCCGGCCCCAACACCCTGCGTGGGGCTCAGCTCTGCCTCCGAGCCGGGAGCTGCGCAAAGGGACCCCCACGGGCCCTGCGGGGAGGGGCGGGCAGGGTTTGGCACAAAACCCCGACAATTTACAAGCCGAAGGCCAGCAGGACGAGGAGCAAACCTTCTCACGGTCGGGTCCCAGCCTGGTTGGTGCCAACGGGTCTCTCAGCCGCTGATTTACGGTGCCAATAAACGGCGATGCCCTGCAGGGCTCCGGGCCCTTCCCACGCTGCTCCCCAGCGGCACCGAGCCTGCCCCAACCCGGCTCCCCCCGGCAGCAGCGCTGGGGACCCCCTTTTGGGATCCATCCCCGCTTTCTCCCTGCTATTTCCCATATTTCCAAACCCTCCAGGGCTAGGACTCGTTTTGCAGCCCAGCCCTGAAGCTGGGTTTCGCTGGGTTTCTGCAGCAGCAAGCAGCCGCCGCTGAGCTCGCCTCCCACTCTCAGCTCTCCCAGCACCACCACCAGCACCACCAGCACCACCAGCACCTCCGGGCTCATCACCGGGGGCCACCAGCAAGCGGGACCCGGTGGCCACCTCCTCCCCGTGCCTACCTGCGGCGATGAGGAGCAGGGCCAGCAGCCGGGGATGAAGGGGACGTCGCCGGCCGCACGGCTCCCCCATGTCTCCATCACCAGCTCGAGGCGACCTCAGCTGCGCAGGCGGCGGTGAGGACGCATGCAAATCTACCCACAGGCAGAAGCTCACCTTCCCCGGGGGGGTGGCAACCTGGGGACACCCTGGGGACACCTTGGGGACCGCCGCCGAGCCCCCGCCGGGCTCCAGCTCAGCTCCTCCGGGACCTCTCCATCGCCCGGAGCCCTCGGGTGCTGCCGCCCAGCCCTCGTCCTCCTCCTCCGGGTGCAATAAAGCAGGGTTGGAGCCCGGATGCTGCTGTTGGGTAAATAATGCCAGCTGGCTTGGTGGCGGGAGGGAACGGGCACCTGGCACAGCTTGGGGACGAGCGCCCGGCCCCTGGCACGGGGAGATTTGGGTGTAGGGCTCGGGGAGGAGGCTCCTCGGGGTGCTGGCTGCGAGGCACCGGGAGCTCAGGGAGCTGCTGGTGTCCAAAAGCTCTTGGCTGGCTGGGAACTGGGACAAAAAGCTCGGTTTGGGGATGCTGTGAGTGGGTGCTGGGTGCTCCCACCCTGCTGAGCTGCTCCCCCCCCCGGGACTCATCTCGAAAAACCTTCACCCGGAGCAAAACCCAAAATGAAGGGAAGGGAGAGCGCAGCGGGGCCGGGCTCGTCCCCGTGCAGAGGAGCAGAGCAGAGGCTGAGCAGGAACCGCGCTCCCCGCTGCCGTTTTTTGCTGTTCCAAAAAGGGAAGCGAGAAGCGGCCGCGCCCCCCCCCGCATCCCCCATCCACCCCGCACCGGGCTCTTCTTTTTTTGGGGGGCGCAGCCCCGAAGCGGGGAGGTTTCGAGGTTTTGCTGCACGGCTCCTGGGGTGATTTCAGGGCTCTCACCAAGATTTTATTAATTGCTGCTTTTACCAGGCTGGGAGGTGGGGGCTGAGCACGGAGCCCCCGTGACAGAAGGTGCTGGACATACACGAGTGAGACCCCCCCACCCCCCTTTTTTTTTTTGTTGTTTTTTGTTGTTTTTTTGTTTTGTTTTTTTTCACGGCAGTGCACAGGCAACACAGAAACGGCGACGGGGGGAGGAAGAGTGGGCACAGACCCACGCCGGCACCGGTGCCCCCATGGCCCCCCCCCGGGATGCCACCGGGGGCTGCTCGGCCCCGGGAGGGGGGAACCAGGGCAGGGGCTGAGCTGGGGGCAGCGGGGGGGGGACAATTTGCACCGGGTGGTCTCATCCTGGATCCGCAGTGGCTGGCACTGGGGTGCCCCCAGCCCCCTGCCCGCCCCCAAAAAAAGGGTTTGGTCCCCCCCCCCCTTTTTGCTGCTGTCTCAGCTTGAAGAAATAGGGTTGGGGACCCCCCCCCCCAAAGTCCTGAGGCATCAGAGCTGCCCGGGTGCCGGAGGGGGGCCCCCAACCTCGCTGCCGCTCATCTCCTTGTTCCCCAAGGGGCTGGGAGGGCTTTGGGCAGAAATTTGGGTAAACCAGAGGTGGGTGGGAAGGCGTCCGGCCGGCTGGCACCCAGAGGTGGCGCCTCCCATCCCCGGAACCGAAACAGGGGGGGCGGGGGGGAGGCTGGAGAGGGGTCAGGTTTGGCACACAACGCACGTCACAGCCCTTGGGTTACGTCCCGACGCTCCAGCGCTGCCGGCGCCTGCGGGGAGAGGGAGAAAATCCTTCAGGAGGATGGACAGAGGGCGTCGGGGCCGCCCTGTCCGTCCGTCCGTGCTGCTGTCCGTCCGTCCGTCCGTCCGTGCATCTCCCTGCGCCCCTCCTCTCCCCCTTCCACACATCGGGACGGGACCTGGCGCAGCACGCAGCGACGGGGCTGGGGGCAGTGCCAGGGGGGTGGGAGCAGTGCCAGGAGGGTGTGTGGGGGTGTTGGGGGGGTGTGGGGGGGTCCCCACCCGGCTCCGGACCCCCTCCCGGGGGGCAGACACGGCCACGGGCCACCCGCACCTGAGGGCCTATGTCACCTCCTCGGCCGCGTCCTCCGGCGCCCGGCGGATCTGCTCGCAGACGGTGCTGACCGGCTCTTTCTCCGGCGGGCTGGGGTCCGGGTTATTTTCGGGGGGACGGAGGCCCTGCGGAAGAATTGGGGGCTGCTGAGGGTCCTCCCTCACCCCTCCCCACCCCACTGTGCCCTCCCCGCTCGCCCCCCGGGATGGGGAGGGTGCAGAGCCCACGGTGGCCCCGTGCCGCGGAGACCCCCCTGCACCGTGCGTCCTGCGTGGATGGGGACCCCATGAGATGGGGACCCCGATGTGAGCTGGGACCCGCTCCGATGGGGACCCCGAGGTGATGGGGACCCCCCCGGCATGGCCCCCACCCCATCTGGCAGCCCCCAGCCCCAGTGCCTGACCCTGCGGGGGGCTCCTCACCTGGTCATTACCTTCCGGGGGGCTCCGGCGCACGATCTCGGCGTACTGGGGGTCGGGGGGGCCCTCCTCAGCCGGCACCGTGGGGGTGGCAGCTGCAGAGGGGAAAGCGGGGAGGGGGTGTCAGGGACACGGGGGACCCCAAAACCAGCCCCAGAGCGCGGCTCGACCCCGAGCTGCCCCCGAGGGGGGCTCCACCACCGACCTGGGTCCGCCGACTTCTCGCTGTTGAGCCGCCAGCACCAGAAGGCGCCCCCCAGGCTCACGGCCAGCAGGATGAGGGTGAGGACGATGTACCCCGACTTGGAGAAGGCCGCCTGTCCCCCTACGAGGGCAGAAAGAGAGAGGCTGAGCCAGGGGGGGACATCCAAAGACCCCCCTTTACCCCCTCTCACCGCCCCCAGGCTGAGCCGGTTGGCACCCAAGGGTGCTCGGCACCCCCTGGGGGAGCAGCGCCCGCACCCGCAGCCTCACCCCCGCTCCGGCAGATGCTCTGCAGGTCGAAGAGGACGACCTTGTGGTCGGCGGGGTTGCTGACGGTGCAGGCGTAGGTGGCGTTGGCGGTGCCGGGCTGTAGGGCCAGGCGCAGCGTGGTGCCGTCGGGGGAGAGCTGCGTGCGGTCGGTGCCAAGCTCCCGGCGCCCGTTGTCCCTCCTCCAGGTGACGTTGACGGCTCCTTTCCCCGCTCCTTGGCACTGCAGGGTCAGGTTGCACCACTCCACCGTGCTGGCCAGCAGCTGGCTGCGGGTCCGGGGGCTCGGCACCGACTCTGCGCCCAAGGAGGGGACGCGACGGGGTCAGCCACGTCCCCCTGCCACCCCACAGATGGGTGACGGGGCTGGAACGGGGCACGGCAACCCCACAAGGACCCCACAGCAGAGAGCATGGAGGTTTGGGGTCTCTCCCAAACCGCCCTGTTGCTCTGTGCCGCGTTTTCCCCATCTTTCCAGCCCGCGCTGGGAGGTTTGTGTCCTTCCCCCAAAACCCGGCCCCGTTTCGCACCACTCACCGTAGACGGAGAGGTTGAAGGCTTGGTCCTCCACCAGCGCCGGGTGCAGTTTGATCCTCGCCCCGTAGACCCCGCTGTCACCCAGCTCCAGCCCCCCGATCCTCAGCGCCGTGGCGTTGAGCATCTCCAGCCGCTGCTTGAAGCGGTCGTGGGGGTCGGGGCGCTCGAACCCCCCCGGGCCAAACTCCGCCACTTGAATCGTGGCCCCGGCGCCGGCCGAAAAGCTCCACTCGATCTCCTTCACCCTGCTGCCGGGGGGCAGCGCCGGGGAGAGCAGCACCGAGCCCCCCAGGATGCCGATCACCTGCTGGGGCTGCGCCCGGACACGGCCGAAGAGGAGCTCTGGGGACAAAGCAAAATGTCACCGGGTGTGCGGGGACAACGCGGGGACGGGCAGCAGGACCCCCCCCGGTGCCGCCGTCCATCCAAGGCTGGAGGAAGAGGAAGAAGAGGAAGAGGAAGGAAGCATCGTCTCCTCTGCGCCCGCTGCGGGTGTCCCTGTTGGGGTTGGGGACACGGGAGGGTGGCCCGAGAGGGTGCCGAGGCTGCTGCTAGCGGCGGGGAGGGGAGGGCGCCGGGGGTCGGCGTCCCCAAAAAAAAAGCGTCTACGTGGTTCGGATGCCGGTGCCGCATCTGAACGGGCGCGCTCTGGGGCGCTCACCAGAACACCGCTCCAACAGACTCTGCGAGGAGTTCCCCGCCAGCATCTGCAAAACCTCATTTTCCGCCTTAAAACGCGCCTCCGCCGCGATGCCTACGAAAAACCAACACGGGTTAGGGCGAGGTGTGGGGGGGGACCGCGAGGGATTGGGGAGTGGGGAGTTGGGGGGCGGGGGGGGTTTGGAGCCACCTGGGCGATGCGGGGCCGTCGCTCTGAGCCCACACCCGCGGTTTTTTGGCAGCTCCCCCAGCTCTCCGCGCGCGAGCACGCTCGGCACCGGCTCCCTCCCTGCCGGCAGCGCCCGCCTACCCGCAAGCTGTCTCCTCCACCGCCCCCGGCCCTGCCAGGGGGAGGAAGGGGCTGAGGAAAAAGGGGGGGGGGGGGCACTGGCATCTTCTCCAAGCCCCCCTCTGCCACCTGTCCCCGTCCCACGCAGGGATGGGGATGCTCAGCGCAGGGGGATTTGGGGCGAGCGGCTTCGCCCTGTCCGGGATGGGACCAGGGGCGCAATGTCCCCGGTGTCCCCTCCTCTCCTCTTCTCTTTTCTCCTCTCCTCTCCCCCCACCCCGCCGGCAGAAGCTGTGCCAGAATATCCGAGCGGATTAGAGGCAGCCATCCCAGCCTTTGCTTTTCATCGAGCCTCCCTGCTTTGCTGGGAAGGAACGCTCCCCACCGTCCCCATCCCGTTTATCGGGGGCTTTTTTTGGGTTCCTCCACCCGAGCCTGGCAGCGGGCTGAGCCCCGCTCCCTCCCGCGCTGCTCCCCCGGGGGCATTTCCAAGTTTTTGGGGTCCCGGTTGTGGGAAGGGGCTGGTGCCCAGCTGCTGGGCAGATGCTGAGCCCCGGGGGTGACGGGGACGAGCCGCAGCCCTCGGCGAGCGCAAGGAGGGGGGAGCAAAGAGGGATGGAGGAAAATCGGGTGGGAGAAGCGGGTGGGTGCCGAGCACAAGCACCCCACATCCCAAGCTGCTCCCTCCTACCCTATTAAAAGCCCCAAAAAGGGCAGAGCTGGGCACCCTGAGGTGCCCGAGGCTCCCTGGTGCGGGGCGTCCGGCTCCGTGCAGCTCCCATCTCCGATCCCAAAGATCTCCGAAGGTGATTTCCACCTGGGCTTTATCCCGTTCCGGCTCCTCGCCCCCGAAGCAAAGGATTCGGATCGAGGCGGGGGGCTGGCAAGCCCCGAGGCTCCCCGCCGGCCTCCTTTCCAGCCCGCTGGCTGCAGTTTTGCCCGCAGCACGCGCCGAGTGCCGGCGCCAGCAGCCCCCGTGTGCCGGCCGCGCGCTCCCGAAGCCAATTAAGCTTTAGGAAGATAAAAACCTCGCCGCTAATCCGCCCGGACTATTAGATGCTTTCTGTCGGAATCGAGGGTTTTATGGGAATTATTCAACGTCTGGCTTAGCACGCTGGGATTTAAGGGGATTCCTCGCTCCTCTTTTACGTAAGAGCCTCGCCGCGCTCTCGGGCGCAACCCCGGGGGGCTCCGTGGGGCGAGCTGCCCCTGCCGGGGGCTTCACCGTGGGGCTGCCCGGAGCCCCCCCAGCTTACGAAACCTCTCCTTCGAGCATCACGCGCGCCTGCGTGGCCGTGTGGAGCCGTGAGGCCGAAGGCTCGGCGGCGGAGAGCCGGGGGGCACCGGCGGTGGCGCTGCCCACCCCGGGAGGCCCCGGCCGTGCGGGGACGAGGGCTCGGTGCCCGGGCACTCACCTGGCACGAGGCCGAGCAGCGCCAGCAGCAGGGCGGGCAGCCGGGCTCCGCTGGTGGCCAAGTCCCCCTCCATTCCTGCTCTGTGCCGCTCGGGTGGGCAGAGTCAGCGGCGCTGGAGACGGGGAGGAGCAAAGCCGCCTCTCCCCGCCGCTACCCGCAGGATGGCGAGCATCGCATCGCAGCGGGGGCACCGCGTGCCGCTTAATTAGCTCGCCACTAACGAGGAGGGATGCGCGACACGCACGGCCTAAGGTTGGGGGGCACGGCCGGGACCCCCCCAAGCTCTCGGTGTCCTCGCTCAGCCCCGCTCGAGGAGCGGTGCCCGGATTAAGGAGGGTGGTGGCATCCGGAGCATCCCTGCCCACGGTCCCCAAATTGTTTTCCCCGGGGAGGCAGCACGGCAGCAAGGGGGGAGGCACATCCCAAATCCCACTAGGCTGAGCTCCGTGGGGTGAAGAAATCAGCACTGGGGGGGGGATGCAAAAGGGAGACACCCCCCCGAGCCCTCCCAGCCCCGTGTCGGGTGCCCGCAGGGAAGGCAGCGGATCCCGTTGGCACCACTGCTGGATTATTTTGAATTTCAACCCCCCCAGGAAGCCAAGGTGGAAAAGATAAAAAGGGAAAGAGCCTCAGCGCCACGTGCAGTAGGCTTAAAAAAAAAAAAAAAAGTAAATCAGCCCCCGGGGAGCAGGGGGGGCAATGCCTGAACCCTGCAAGGACCGGCAGTGGGGTCAGGACCCCCGGGAAGGTGCCAGACCCCAAGCTGAGGGGCCACGAAACCCAAATTTGTGGCAGCTGCTGCCAGGGGCTGCTCCCTGCGGCTGGCACGGGCTGATCGCCGTAGGATACACGGGGGGGGGGTGACCACGGCACCAAGGAGCACCCCAAAGAAAAAGCGGGGTCCGGCCCCTCGCTGCGTCCCCGCTCGGATTTGGCTCCAGGTGCTGGGGTATGGGGTGGAGGGGATGGGCTCAGAGCCACTGCACGGGGCCCTAAATCGCCCCTCAATCGCCCCTCAGCACGTCCCCGTGCTGCCTGGCAGCAGTGCCAGGACCGGGAGACCGATGTCCCAAAGAGTGGGGACACGGGACCAGGAGCATGGGCAGGATGAGACCCCAGGAGCATCAGGAGCAGCCCCTAAACCCTGAACCCCTAAACCCTGAACCCTTAAACCCTCAACCCCTAAACCTTGAACCCCTAAGCCCTGAACCCCTAAACCCTGAATCCCTAAACCCTCAACCCCTAAAACCTGAACCCCTAAACCCTTAATCCCTAAACCCCTGAACCCCTAAACCCTCAACCCTTAAACCCTCAACCCCTAAACCCTGAACCCCTAAACCCTCAACCCCTAAAACCTGAACCCCTAAACCCTGAATTCCTAAACCCTAAACCCCTAAACTCTGAACCCTTAAATCCTCAACCCCTAAAACCTGAACCCCTAAACCCCTAAACCCTCAACCTCTAAACCTTGAACCCCTGAACCCTGAACTCCTAAACCCTCAACCCCTAAACCCTGAACCCCTAAACCCCTAAAACCTCAACCCCTTAAACCTGAATCCCTAAACCCCTAAAATCTGAACCCCTAAACCCTCAACCCCTAAAACCTGAACCCCTAAAATCTGAACCCCTAAACCCTGAATCCCTAAACCCCTGAACCCTCAACCCCTAAACCCTGAATTCCTAAACCCTAAACCCCTAAACTCTGAACCCCTAAAACCGAAACCCCTAAACCCTGAACCCCTAAACCCTGAACCCCTAAACCCTGAATCCCTAAACCCTAATCCCCTAAACCCCTAAAACCTGAACCCCTAAACCCTCCAGCACCACCAGGCCACATCCCGAGCTCCTGAACCCTCCAGCCTCGAATCCTCGTGCACGGGCGAGGAGGAGCAGCGGAGCCCAGGGCTGCCTGGGGCGAGGAGCGATCCTGCCAGCGGCCTGGAAAGTCACAAAACTCACCCAGACCCCGGCTCAACGTCACCCCACGGAGCCGCTGGGTGTCACGGGGAGCTGGGGGGGGGTCCCCCAGTTCCCCCCAGTTCCCCCCAGTTCCCCCAGTGCCCGGGCAGCCGCAAGCCTTTGGCTCACGCAGGAAACCTGCGGCGGAGCCTGGGGGAAGCCACTTCCCCCCCCCCTCATCCCTGCTGCGGCCGCAGGGGTGGGGACACCGCCTGCATGAAACAGGGGGGGCTCGGTGCAGCTCCAGGCCCCCAGGATCGTGTCCCTGGGGGACCCCAGCCCCAAGCTGGGTGTCCCCAAAATCCCCCCCGGTCCCTGTCCCCCCACCGGGGGGGATTTTGGGGACACCCATGGCACCGGGTGCGTCGCAGCCCGGCCCCAAGTGGCTCGAAGCTGCTGTGGGGACAAGAGCGAGGCCACCACCGCCTGTCCCATACCTGGGACAAGGGGGACGACGCCTGCAAGGGCCAAAAATTTTGGGTTTTCCACTCTGATGGGTCCCAAAATTGCGGGGTCGTTGCCCTTATGGGCTGCCAGAGCCCCTCTGGGTTTGGGGTTTTCTCCCGAGTCACGGATCCAGCAGAAATTGGTTCATTTCGGGGGGTGTTTGATGATTTATCGCTCCCAGCTCCCGCAGTTAATTCCCAGCGGCAGCGCTGAGGCAGCCCCGGGACGCCAGAGGGAGCCCGGGGCCCGGCTGCGCCCCCCCCCGCCGCCGTCCTCCCGCAGCTCTCGGCCTCCTCAGAGCCCCCCCAGCCTCGGCTCTCGCACCCCAGGGCCCCACACGGGGCCCTCGGCACCCTCCGGAGCCCGGGGGGGCCCGGCCCGGCCCGGTCCCAGGCGCCGCCGCCATTTTCCTCCCCCTCGACCCTTCCCCGACGGCCGCCAAGCGCCGACTGATGACGTCAGCAGCGGGGACGCGCGAAGACACCCCCTCCCCGAGTTCTCGCTCAGGCTGAAATCTCGCGGGATTTCCGCTGGTATAAAAGGAACCGCGGGGAGGGGCGGGGCTCAGTGCCCGCCTGGCCGGCGGGCGGTGAGGTGGTGGGGTGCTGCTGCTCCGTGAGGGCGAGGGGCCTTTTTGGGGCCTTTTTGGGGCCTTTTGGGGCCTTTTGGGGCCTTTGGGCCCTTAGGGGCCTCCTCCCTCATATTCTGTTGCTGGTGGCCCTGCCCCTGCTTTTGGTGCAAAAATAGAGAGATTTGGCTCAAAAACCAGCCTGGATAACACCATAATAACAAGACACACCGTGGGGGGGGGTCTCAGGGAGGGGGGGGGGGGCGAAAAATATTCCCGGTGCTTTGCAGCTTTCTGAGGATAAATGGGGATAGGGCTGCCCCATAGCACCCTGCCCAGCCCCAAACCCCCTCCCTCAGCTCAGCCCAGGACCCCCCAGCCTCCCTGCCGCCTCCTTCCCACGAGCCCCTGATTTATTAGGAACGAAATCAAATTCTGTTTTTATCACCAACCTGGGCAGCGGAGGGCTGAGATTAAATTCCAGCACGACAGCCGGCGAGGGAAGAGCCGGGGATGGTGTCTCTGCTTCCAGCGTGTTATTAGTGGGTCTGGGGCTCCGGGAGACAAATTAGGATTTTCTTGAGGGACCCTTATTGCATTATTATTTTTTTTTAATTTTAACCTGCTGTGGCTGTCAGATGGCTGGGAGCGAGGCTGGGGCTGTGCCTGCCCCGGTCAGGAGCTCCTGGTGACGGGGGCTGCTTCCCTGGTGCTCAAAGCCAGGTTTGGGGGAAACCCCAGGACCCAAAGCCAGGTTTGGGGGAAACCCCAGGACCCCTGTTGGCTCCTGGGTGCTCCCCAGTGCCCCGTCCCTCCGTTGTCCCCACCTTTGAGGGGACAGGGACATCCTGGTGAAACCGAAGGCGATTTCTCTCGTCCCAGACCCGCGGTGCTTCATCTGCGCCCCCCAATTTTTGGGGTGTTCCCTCGTTTCGGTGCAACGCATCCATGAGGGCTGGCGTGCAGGAACCCATAAAAAAATGAAAAATAAAAATAAAAATAAAAAACCAGCCCTGCAACGCCCTCCCCTGCTCTTCTGGAGGCTGCAGCCTCGTGGCTGCGGGGAGGCGAGGGAGGAAGGAGCAGGCGAGGGATTTCTGCGGAGCCCAGAGGAGGCGGCGAGCGAGCTCCATCCCGGGGCATAAATTAAAATCCAGCTCGGAATAAATGAGCCGGGTGGCGAGGAGGGGAGGGTTGGTGCTTCCCGGGGTAGACAGCGCCTGCCTCTTTTTAGCAAGGTGGAAGCAGCTCCGGGGCTGGGATTTCGGAGCTGATTTAATCTCCAGGTGTGAATTTGTGGCTCGCTCCTGGGCTAGGGCCAGCGAGAAAAAGTCGCTCGTGGCAAGAGAAAAAAGGGCAAAAAAAAAAAAAAAAAAAAAAAAGAGAAAAAAGGGGGCAGAGCGGGGGTTTTAACGCCTCTCCCCTCGCATCCATCTCGCCACGCATCCACCCCATGCTTCCATCCATCCGCACGCTCCACGCTCCAGCAAAAGCCATTAGGGATGACAAAGCACCTTTTTGTTTTAAAGATGGGTCCCGGGAGCAGCGGGCAAATTGCCTGCTTCATGCATAATAAACCAGGCGTGGAAGCGCACCAAGGAACATGGGCTGCGTTCGGATGGGAAACAAAAATCACGAAGCGAGCCCCCTTCGCGCAGCCTGGGCTGGGAGAAATAAAAACTGGGCTGGGTGAGGGGGGGCTGCCAGAGCCCCCCCACACCCCCCCTCTTGGCAGTGTCTCCTGATGAAAATCTTGGTGAAAAAAATTAAAAAATAGGTCAATGGAGGCAGCGCGGGGGGTGCTGTGGCTGGGGACCCCCCCTTCCATCATCCCCCCCCCGGTCCCATGTCCCCCCAGCCCCGCTGGCAAAGCCCCCCCCCCCCCCGAGATGCTACAAAGGCGAAACCGCAGCCCTTTCTTTTTTTTTTTTTAACATTTATATTTATAATATATATATAAAAAAATTAAATATATATAATATATCGTGTTTAAGACTAAAAATATAGTACATAATATTTAAAAAAAAGGAAAAGGACAAATAAAAAAACGGTGGCTTGGGGGGGGGGGCGGGGGTCACAGATACGTGTCTCTAGGGGAAAGGAAAATGGGGGGGGGGGTCTAAAACAGCCTGTGCTAGGAGGGGACCCGCTCGCCCCCGCGCCCTGGGGTGCTGCCGCCTGGCCCTGGGCTCCTTTTGGGGCCGGGGGGGGCCCCGATCCTGCTCCCCCTGCCCCAGGGAGTTGAGTTTAAAGCTTCGGCTTGTTTTTGGGGCCGGCGGGACGCTATTGCTATAACGGTGGGGGTGCAGCATCTGGGGGGGCCACAGCCGGGGTTAAATCAGGCACCATCGCATGAAACGGCCGGGGGTCGTGGGGGGGGGCTCAGCACCGTCCTGACAGTACCTTTGGGGTCGAGGTTTAACCCGATGGGGACGGGGAAGGGGGGGTTGGGATATTGGGGACCCCCCCCCCCCTCCCCGTGCCGTGCCCCTTCCTTCCCGAACCGTCCTGCGGCCGAATCGTACCTGCCTGCCGCGGGGCCGGCTCCGCAGCGAGGAGGAAGAGGAGGAAGAGGAGGGGGAGGCTCTGCAGGATGGGGGGCACCGAGCTCACCCCGATCCCCAGGGCAGAGCTGGGCAGGCAGGGGGAGGGTGCTCGTACCTAATCCCAGGGGTCCATGGGGACCCCCCCCCAAATCTGTAGGGTGCCGGTACCGAGAGCTGGGCTGGGGAGGATGCAGCTGGGAAGCCAAAACCTCCCCTAAAACTCCCCAGCATCGAGCTCACAAAGTGCCCCCGAAATCCCTCGTGCCCCAGCCAGAGCCCGGCTCCCTGCTCCCGAGGGAATTGGGGTCCTGCATGTTTGGGGTCCTGCTTGTTTTGGGGGTCCCCATTATTCTGGGGTCCTGGTGCCCATTTGGGGACCGAAATCCTTCACCCAGCAGCTGCCCCGATCCCATATCCCTGTAATACATTCACTGAGGGCCCCCTGTCCCCTTGATTTGGGGGCGTTTTTGGGGTCTCGCCGTACCGGGACCCCCAGGGTGAGCAGGGGTGCCCCCTGCTCACCGGCTCGGGGCAGGGTGGGAGCGGGGGCTTTGTGGGACGGACGGATGGAAGGACGGGAGGGAGCCGGCCCCGAGCGTGGGCCAACCCCGAAAAATCAAGGCACAGGGAACGGGAACAGGCTGGGCCGGGGCATTTTGGGGAGAAAAGAAGCCAAACGCGGCGCCTACATCCGCACGGGTGCCACGGGATGGGCGGCGCTGGCCGGGGCGTGCGGGGCTGAGCCCCCATCGGGGAAGGCTCCGGGCTCCCCCCCCCTTCCCAGCAGAGCCGGGAAGGGGGAAAAGGGGCCGGGATGGGGGGGCACGGGGCCGGGGGGGGGCCACCCCGCACCCCCTTTTGGGAAGGTACCGCGAAGACAACCGCTATCCCAGCGGGGGGAGTGGAAGCTCGAAGAGAAGGAACCCGGCGCACGGAGAAGCGGGGCGAGGGGTGGGTGAGAGGGGGGGGGGGTCAGGATGAACCCCTGAATATCAGGGGCCAGTCGCCGGCTTCCCCGCCGCCCCCCCCCCCCAAAAAACCCCTAGACGTGCGTCTGCATCCGCTGCTGGAAGCGCTGCCCGTAGTCCGAGTGCTGGGAGGTGTAGGAGAAGCGGGTGGCGCTGGCGTACTTGCCCATGGGGTCGTAGGCGTCGTAGGGCCCCCGCTCCAAACTGGGGGGCTGCCCGTAGCCCAACCGGTAGCCCCCGTAGCCACCTCCGGCCGGGAAGGCGCCGTGACCCCCGTAGTTCTCGTAGGACAGCTGGCTGGCCGTCTCGCCCCCCGCCGTCGTCCCCGGGGAGGCCCCGGTCCCCGCGGCCCCCTCGGTGCTGTATTCGGACGCGGGGCCCCCCCGGCTGTAGGTGTTGAGCTGAGCGTAGCCGCTGGAGTGGGACAGGCGGGAGGGGGGCCGAGCCTCGTAACGCCCCGGCCCCGGGGTGCGGTAGTCGGCGTAGAGCACGGTGCGGGAGGCCGGGCGGTCCTCGTGGGCACGGACGTTGTAGTAGCCGTTGGTGGGGTCCTGGGGGGGTGGTGGGGGGGGGTGGTAAGAGGGTGGGTGGGGTGGGGTGGGCGAGGATCTGGTGCCTTCTCGCCTCCGAGCTGCTCTTTTCTCATGCCCCATTCTTGTTTTCTTGTCCCCTTTCTTGTGCTTGTTCCTGTCCCCATCTCCAGGCCATCCTCATCCTCGTCTGCATCCCCATCCCGTGCCAGCCATCCCCTCCCAACCTTCTGCCATCCCATCCCATCCCATCCCATCCCATCCCATCCCATCCCAACTCCATTCCATTCCATCCCATCCAATCCAATCCCCATTGCCATCCCCACCTCATCCCCATCCCTATCCCCACCCCAATCCCATCCCCAGTCTTTCCCCATCCCCTGTACCCACCCTATTATCACCCCACCCCACCCCATCCCATCCCATCCCATCCCATCCCATCCCATCCCATCCCATCCCATCCCATCCCTCCATCCCATCCCATCCCATCCCATCCCATCCCTCCCATCCCCATTGCCATCTCCACCCCATCCCCATCCCTATCCCTACCCCAATCCCATCCCCATCTTTCCCCCATCCCCCATACCCACCCCATCCTCACCCCACCCCATCCATCCCATCCCATCCCATCCCATCCCATCCCATCCCATCCCATCCCATCCCATCCCATCCCATCCAATCTCCATCCCCATCCCCATCCTTATTCACATCCTAATCCCATCCCCAATCCTTCCCCATCCCCAATCTTTCCCCCTCCCCTATCCCCACCCCATTCTCACCCAATCCCATCCCATCCCACCCCATCCCCATCCCATTCCAATCCCATCCCCAATCTTTCCCCATCCCCCGTCCCCACCCCATTCTCACCCCATCCCATCCCATCCCATCCCATCCCATCCCATCCCATCCCATCCCATCCCCTATCCCCTATCCCCTATCCCCTATCCCCTATCCCCTATCCCCACCCCACCCCACCCCACCCCACCCCACCCCCAGTTCCAGACCTTCAGCTCGTACTCCTCGCGGGTGTCGATGGTGTCACAGCGCAGGTCCTGCTTCAAGTCCACGTCATCCTTGAAGGACTGCAGGAGAAGCGGGGACAGACGGCCTCATTCCCTCCCCGCTCCCACCCCGCACGGTCCGTCAGCCCTGCCCACGGTGTGACCCCACCGGGGACTGTCCCCTACCGAGTAGATGGCCTTCATGACGCGGGTGGCGGTGGAGACGCTGGCCGTGTCCTCCTCCCGGTCCGCGTGCAGCGTCAGCGGCTCCCTGTTCACCGTCTCCACCTTGATGTCCAGCTTGCGCAGGGTGACGTCCTTGCGACCTGGGGACGCGCGGGGACGGAGGTGGCACGGAGGGGGCACAGCCTGGCTGGTCCCCCTACCCTGTCCCCATCCATGGTGTCTCCGTCCCCATTGTGGTGTCCCCATCCCCATCCATGGCACCCTAACCCCATCCTGGTTTCCCCATCCCCATCCACAGTGTCCCAATCCCCATCTGTGGTGTCCTCGTCCCCATCCGTGGTGTCCCCATCCCCATCCATTGTGTCCCTGTCCCCATCCATGGCGTTCCCATCCCCATCCCAGTTTCCCCATCCCCATCTGTGGTGTCCCTGTCCCCATCCGTGGTGTCCTCGTCCCCATCTGTGGTGTCCCCATCCCCATCCGTGGTGTCCCCGTTCCCATCCATGGCATCCCTGTCCCCATCCACAGCGTCCCCATCCCCATCCCAATTTCCCTGTCCCCATCCTGGTTTCCCCGTCCCCATCCATGTTGTCCCCATCCCCATCTGTTGTGTCCCCATCCCCATCCGTGGTGTCCCTGGTCCCCATCCATGCCATCCCCGTCCCCATCCCAGTTTCCCCGTCCCCATCCATGCTGTCCCCATCCCCATCCATGGCGTCCCCGTCCCCCACTCACTCCCTTTCCGACGCCGGTACAGGAAGCAGGCGAGCGCCACGAGGAAGCTGATGACGAGGATGCTGGCCCCGATGGTGGCCCCGGCGATGATGCCCACGGGCAGGACCTCTGCAGGGGGACGAGAGGACGCGGGGGGCCGTGAGCCAGGACCTGGGTGGCGCGGCGGTGGCGGTGGTGGCCGTGTCACCGTGTCCCCGGTACCTTTCTCCTCCAGCTGGATGATGGCGGTGCCCGGCCCGAAGCTGTTCCAGGCGGTGCAGTTGTAGTGGGTCTGGAAATCGGCCTCCATCACGTTGTTGATGGTGAGGGTGGACAGGACCCCGCTGCCCGTGTTGGTCCTCTCCACCGTGTAGCGCTCCAGCGTCCCTGCCTCCAAAACGTTCTCCTTCCAAGCCCAGGCCTGGCAAAGGGGGGCTGCGTCAGCGCCTCTCCGTGCCCCCCATGAGGATGGGACGGGACGGGGGGACGGGGATGGGGACGGGGACGGAGCCCCCCTGGATCACTCACGATGCGGTCGGGTGGCGGCGTGCTGCCGATGAAGCACTCCACCTTGCCGCGGTCACCGCGCGCCGCGTACTGCACCACCTCGCTGGAGATGATGGGGGGCCCTGCGGGAAGGACGCCAAGCGAGGAGGGGTCACCAAAACCCGACTGGCACCTTGGTGGGGGGGTCCCATCGCCCCCACCTCTCCGCTCACCGTTGACGTAGAGCGTGACCTCGCGCTCGCCCACGCCGATGCGGGGCACGATGGCTTTGCAGATGTACTGCCCCGCGTCCGCCTGCGTCACCGACTTCAGGTACAGCTGGTTGCTGTTGCTCAGCACCTTGGGTGGGGGGCAAAGGGGGGGGGGCTCAGGAGGGTTGGCAGGGGTGGGCACGGCCCCTCCTTGAGCCCCCCCGGCTCAGTACCATGTTGGATTCCTTCTTGGTCCAGGTGAGGGTCAGCGGGGGGTTGCCGGACCACATGCAGGTCAGCGTCACGTCGGAGCCGATGTCGGTGACGGTGGGCTTGGGGGCCACCATGATGCGAGGGGCGACTGGAGGGGAGAGGGGAGGGGTTGGGGGCAGCCCTGGGGTGTGTGTGGGGGGAGGTCTCGGGGGTGTTGTTGGGGTGCTGGGGGGTTGGGGGCTGCCCCACTCACAGTGCACGTCCACCAGCGTGCTGACGTTGGTGCTGCCGATGTCGTTGTGCACCTCGCAGGACACGGGCTCCGTGAAGAAGGTGTAGTCCACCTGCGTGTCGTACTTGTTCTCCTTGGCCTCCTCGATGATCACCCCCCCTTTGGCCCACCTGGGGGGAGCGCAGACCCCGGGTTCAGCACCCCCCCAGCCCCCGGCCCCGAGGTCCGAGCCTGGAGGTCTTGGGGAGCCCCCCCCAAAAAGGGTCCCCGGGTCCTCCTCACCTGTAGCCTTTGATCTCGGGGTTGGCGGTGGCCATGCAGGTGAAGACGACCCGCTCGCCCTCCTGCACCGTCTGGGGCTGGATGGACAGGGTGACAGTCGGGGGATCTGCGGGAAGGCGGACGGAGCCGTCGCGGCCGCTGGGGCGGGCTCAGCGTGGCAGAGAGAGAGAGAAGGGGGGCGAGGGGAGAAGCCCCCGGCCCGGCGCAGCAAACCCGGCCCCGTGTGCTGGGCACGGCACGGGGAGAGAGCCCCGAAATTGCGATGGTCTTTTGGGGTGCCCAGCATCCCTGATCGATCTGGGTGCATGGCATCCTTTCCAGAAGTGGGTGCCCACCATCCCTGACCACTTTGGGTGCCCCCCCATCCCTTCAAGCTATGGGTGCCCACCATCCTTGACTGCTTTGGGTGCCCCTCATCCCTTCCAGAATCAGGCACCCACCATCCCTGATGGATTTGGGTGCCCCACATCTCTTCCAGAAGCAGGCACCCAGCATCCCTGATGGATTTGGGTGCCCCCCATCCCTTCCAGAATCAGGCACCCACCATCCCTGATGGATTTGGGTGCCCCCCATCCCTTCCAGAATCAAGCACCCACCATCCCTGATGGATTTGGGTGCCCCACATCTCTTCTAGATATGGGTGTCCAGCATCCCTGACAGATTTGGGTACCCCCCATCCCTTCCACAAGCAGGCACCCTCCATCCCTGGTATCTCTGGGTGCCCACCGTGGCCATGGACCCTTCCCGCAGCAGCCACTGGAGGTCGGTGTTCACCGCGCCGTCCCCAGCTGGCCCCCGCCTGACGCCGGCACAGCCCGGCTCCGGTGAACCCAGCGGGTGCAACCTCAGCCCCCACCCACCCAGACACCATTTGGGGAGCCCTAAACCACGGGGCTGGGAGCCCCCTGGCACCCCACAACACCCCGCACCCTGAAAGCTCCTCGCTCTGCGCCGGTGACTCCCGTGTGCCACGTCCCCGTGCCACGTCCCCGTCCCCTCCGTCCCCTCTGCCCCCATCGTGGACTCACGGTGCACGTTGAGCTTGACGAAGGTTTCCTTCCCCCCCGGGATGGCTTCGTTGGTGCTGCGGCAGGAGAAAACCCTGCCGATGTCCAGGTCGGTGGGGTTGATGGCCAGCTGGCTGGTCGTCGTCTCCCGCTTGCCGTCAGCCAGCACCTCCTGCCAGGGAGATGGGGATGGGGCTCGTGGTCATCTCCGGCACCGCACGGGGCCACGGAGGGGCCGAGGGGGGGCTGAATGGGGGGGGGACACGGCCGGTACCGTGGTGGTGATGGCTCCGTCCTGCTGGAGCCCGTCCCGGTACCAGACGATGGTGGCGGCGGGCTTGGCGCTGCGCGCTCGGCACGTCAGGTTGTAGGGTGTCCCCGCGCGCAGCAGGATCTCGGGGGCTCCGTCGATGGTGGGGTCCTCGGGGGGGACTGCAGAGGGGACAGGGGGCGAACTGGGGACACCGGGGACACAATGGGGACACCGGGGACACAGTGGGGACACTGGGGGCACACTGGGGACACCGGGGGCACACTGGGGACACCGGGGGCCCTCCACAAATGCCAAGCTGAGGAGCTAAAACCTGGATTTGAAACTGATTTATTAGGGCTGGGCTCTTGGGGAGAAGGGAACCGGGGGGGTTTGGCGGGGTCGTGCTGTGCTGAGGGAGGGGCTGGGCTGCTTGCAAACACCCCCGGGTGCTGGCTGGGTGCAGGAGGAATGGCTGATGGGGACCCCCCCATCCTAGGACCCTCTGCCCTATGTGAGCCCCACACTGAGGGGGGGACACAGGGGGACCCCCTGAGCTCGGCAGGAGTTGGGGGGGGACCCCCCCGGGCACAGCTCGGTGCCCCCAGCCACAGCTCCCACCCGCGCGCCTTTTATCTCCTGCCTTTCTAATGGGAATTTCAACGCCAGGGGAAGAAGGAGAAAGAGAGGGGAAAAAAAAAAAATAAATTAAGAAAAGCAAGAAATCCGCCCCAAAAACCCCGTTCATGCAACGTTTCCGCTGCGGCTCCGGCAGCATCTTTTTTTTTTTTTTTTCTTTTTTTTTTTTTTTTTTACAAGACACAAAAGTCGGGGAAATCAAAGTTACTGCACTCGTAGGTCCCGTAACTCAGCCACGGCGTGAATATAGATTAAGGCATTAAAGATAATGGCACAGCCGGGCTGCTGGAGGCAAGGCAAGGGGGAGGCGGCGGCGCACGCACCGGCAGCCCCTTCCCTGCGCCTGCCTGGGCTGGCTCGGGGGGGGGTCCAGGAGGGGTTTGGGGGGGACCTGGGGATAATGGGGGGGGATCCGGGCTCCTTACTGAGCACGGTGAGCTTGGCTCGGCGCGAGCGCAGCGCGGCCTCGGTCGCTTGGCACTCGTAGACGGCGTCGTCGGAGAGCTCGGCGTCGCTGATCTCCAGGTTGTACTGGCCCGAGTCGGCCGTGCCCACGATGCGGTAACGCGGCCAGGCTGGGGGGGCACGGAGCGGGGTGAGCGCCGAGGGGACGGGACCCCCTGGGTGCTCCCCGTGCACCCAAATTTCTGAGCCCGGTTCGCCGGGGATGGGGGTTCGGTCGCTGCCCGGTGCCAGCTCTGGATGTGTGGGGCACGTGTGGTATCCCCGGGGCACGGGGGGGTCCTCAGGATGTGCAGGGACATGGGCGCAGGGACAAGACTGCGGTGTGTGCAGGACCCCAAAGTGTGCAGGGACCCAGGGTGTGCGGGGACCCCAAGACATGCAGGGACCCCAACATGTTCAGGGACCCCAGTGTGTGCAGGGACCCCAATGTATGCAAGGACCCCAATATGTGCAGGGACCCCAACGGGTGCAAGGAACCCAATGCGTGCAGGGATCCCCGGGCGTGCAGGGACCCCAACATGAGCAAGGACCCCAATATGTGCAAGACCCCGATACATGCAGGGACCCCAGCGTGTGCAGGGACCCCAATACATGCAGGGACCCCAATGTATGCAAGGACCCCAGTGCATGCACAACCCCAACACACGCCAGGACCCCAACACATGCAGGATCCCCGCTCCACGCAGGGCCCCCGGTGCGCGCACCAAGGAGCAGAGAGCAGCGCCCAGACCCTGCCAGAGCTTCACTACGGCACACGGAGCTGGGAAATGGGGGCTGCGGCACCGCAGAGGCCATAATACCCCCTGAGCCTCCCCCGGGTACCTTTGAGGCCCTGCCCCATCCCCAGGGCCAGCCCGTCTTTGGTCCATTGCACGATCCCGGAGTAGTTGAGCACCACGCAGGAGAGGACGATCCTCTGGCCGGCCACCACGGTCTGGTCCTCCGGCTCCTCCACGAACCGCGTCTGTGCCGCTGGGGACGTGGGACGGGGATCGGTGACGGCCCAGGGCGCCCCGCACCACAGCGCCCAGTGCTCCGTCATACTGGTGGCACTGGGCTGTGCCGGCACCGCCAGCACCGGGGTCCCCAGCGCCGTCCCCAGCCCCCCAGGCCGTGTCCGCGTGGTGCCGCGGCCGTCACGCGGCGAGCGGGCATCGACCGGGAGGGCAGCGGGGGGAGCGCGGGGTGCGTGTCACACGCGTGTGGCGGTGTCACATGCGTGTGTGGGGGGGTAAAGGGGGGGAACAGGGCACACCGGGGTCCCAACCCGCTTGGGGAGCACGGGGACAGCGGGGCGAGGGGCGTTTCGGGCTCCCCTGGGGTGGCAGAGGGGAGCTGCCTCTCCCTCCCCCGTGCTCGCCTCCCCCCCCCTTTGAAAGCCTCTTGCTAAAATATTCAAATGATTTCCGCTGTGGAGCGGGAGAGGGGGAGGCAGAAATCCCTTCTGGGGATGAGCGAGCTGCAGATAACGAAGCCGCCGCTAAGTCCCCAGCCCTGCCTCCGCCTGCGTGGCCCGGCGAGGCCTGGCACAGCTCGGCACAGCTCGGCACGGCACAATTTGGCACGGCACAGCACAGTTTGGCACGGCACAATTCGGCACGGCACGGCACAGCTTGGCACGGCACAATTCGGCACGGCACAGCACGTTATGGCACAGAACAACACGGCACAGTTTGGCATGGCACAGTTTGGCACGGCACGGCACGGCACCGTGCGCTCTGTGTCCCCAGCGTGTGCTCTGTCCCCAAGAGCCGGGTGCTCTGAGCCCCCTCTGCCTTTGATCCTGCAGCCAAAGCCCCCAGCAGCTCCCCAAATCCCCCCACCGCTGCCGGGGAGCCCCCCACACCCTCCAGCTGTGCCCCAGCACCAGGAACCAACCCCAAAGCATCGCCCCCAGGCACTTGGAGAGACCCCCCCCAGCCCGCACGCGGCTTCGGGCATCCCCAAATCCCCAGGATGGGGGCACCCCAGGACCCGCTACCCCAGGACCCATGGACTGGGCACCCCAGGGTGCTGAGGAAGGGGCACCCAGCCCTGCAGCCCCTTGCAGAGCCCACCAGGATCCGCGGTGACTCGGGGACGGTCACTGCTGGTGTCCCCCGGTCACATCCCACCCGCGTGGGCATCCCAAACCCCCACCCCAGGGTGCCCCCAGCCGGCTACGGGGCCCTGGGCATGGAGGGGTGGCTGGGGACACTCGGATGTCCCTGCCCCATGGCCCCCCCGTGGCAGCGTTTTGGGAGAGGAGCGGGAGCAGGGACAGGGGGAGGGAGGGAGATAAAGGGAAAGGAGAGAATGGGAGAGGCGGGGGGAGGGATGGAGCTGGGGGGGGAATAAAAAAGCAGAGCGGAGATCAAAGAGGAAGGTGCCTGGAGAGAGGTGGGCGTGGGGGAAGATCAGAGCTGGGGAAGGGGGGGAGGCAGCGCGGGGTGGGGGGGGGCTGCGGCCGCCAGACAGACAGACAGACAGACAGCGGGGACCCACGGCCAGCACAGGGCCACCGTGGGGTGACACAGAGCGCCCGGTGGCACCCGCAGGACGCCAAAGAGGGGCGCACGGGCGTGCACACGCGTGTGCAGGAGTGGGAAGAAGCCCCCCACCCTGCAGGAACCGTCCTGTCCGTCCCCATCCCCATCCCCGTCCCCATCCCCATCCCATCCCCATCCCCGTCCCCATCCCCATCCCCATCCCCATCCCCATCCCCATCCCCATCCCCATCCCCATCCCCATCCCCGTCCCCATCCCCATCCCCATCCCCATCCCCATCCCCATCCCCATCCCCATCCCCATCCCCGTCCCCATCCCAGTCCCATCCCAGTCCCATCCCGTCCCCGCCGCTGTTTAGTCTGGCGCAGGACGATGCGGGGGGGGGGCTCGGCCCCAGCACAGCGAGCACCGCGCGTCCCTCGCCGCGGCGGGTCCTTGACGTTGTGCCAAGGAGCCCACAGATCCCCAAGGCACGGCCGCGGGGTGCCGGGGGTGCGCCCCCAGCCTGTGCCCACCCGTGGGTGCCCGGGCACGCGGGGGGGACCCGGCGGGGCCCCAGCCACACGCCCGGCCCTGTCTCCCTCTATTTATCAAATGAAGGTCTGATTAAGCCCTGGGGCTGGTGCTCCAATCTCCCTCTCTCTCCTCTCGCTATTAAACTCAGGGTTCAAAGAAAAGCTTTTTATTCGCGCTGACAGCTTTCAGATGGAGCTAAATCTCTCCGCGCTCGAGTTTTTTTTTTTTTATTATTATTTTATCTCTCTTCCCTCCTCCCCTTCCTCTTCTCACCGCTTTTAAATTTAAGCCTTTCCCCTTTCCTCTTCCCAAGCTGGTCGCTTCTATTTATATTGGGGGGGAAAAAAAATAAAAATACATGGGGAGGAAAAAAAAATATATATATATAAAAAAATCCCACCCTCCACTGGTTTTATTCTGTGGGAGAGAAAAGAGGATTTGGCTTCCTTGTGGCCCTGCCCGGCAGAGCGGAAAGGGAGAGACGGGAGGGAGGACGGGGCCGCGGGTGGCTGCTGCAGCCGGGGCCATCGCTGTCCCCATCCCTGTCCCCATTGCTTTGTCCCCGTCCCTGTCCCCATCGCCCTGTCCCCATCCCCGGGACACGCTGCTGGCTGCATCCACGCTGCTGCCCGCGTCCTCTCTGCCCCCACGCTGTCACCACGCTGTCACCGCCCCGGTGCCGGCGCCCCGAGCCACTTGTCACCCAGCACGAGGCAATGGGATGGAAAAAAGCGCAAGCATTGCGGCTGGCCCCAAAAATCCCCCGGACGGTGCCACGCATGGACCTCGGGCACTGCCAGAGTGGGGAAACCGAGGCACGGGACTGCCGGCGGTGTCACCGTGTCCCCAAAATTGGGAGATGGAGGGGGGGACATGCGCAGCCCGCGGGTGCCATCGTGCCCGTGCAGCGGGCGGGTGCCGCGGCTGGCGGGGGACGCGGCGGAGCGGAGACGTGATCGAGCCTGGCACTTCGCCGTCCTCCCGCCCCATCTGCCGAGGAGCAGCAGCTATTTTAGGCTCCGGCAATTTGGGGCTTTCTGCTCAAGCCGGCCGCGGCTCGGGGCAGGGACATGGGTGGCTGGTGGTGGCCTCAAGGACGGAGCCCCACGCGTGTCCCCAACCCAGGGTGGCAGCCACAGACCCAAACCCACCCCAGGACCACGGGGAGCAGGGATGGGAGCTGGGACGAGGCTTGGGGCAGAGGGGACCCTGTGGCTTGGGATGCCCCCACCCTGCTCCAGCAGCGTCCCCGTGTCCCCGTGCCACACGGGCGGGTGACAGCAGCGGGGACGGGGACCCGGGTGGCAGCCCAGCCCGGCAGCACGCTCGCCCACAGCTCGCAGCCAGCAAATTGATATTTGCTAGAGAGGGTCCCCGTTGCCATCAACAATTTATGAGGCTGCTTCGCTGCGATTACCCCAGCAAGACGGCGCTGCCCGGGAACAGCGCGAGCCGCGCGCTCGGAAAGCGTCTTGGCAGGAGGAGCCGCTTCCGCTCCTTGTTTGAAGTCACTCAATGCCCTCTTCTATTTTCTTCTCCTTTCCCCTTCGCTTTTTTAACGCTAACGTGGCCGGAGGGGTGGGCAACAGGACGGGAACGCTGATGGGAACGCGGTGCCAGGAGGCTGGGGTACGGCAGGATGATGTTGGGGTACGGGGTGAGGATGCTGGGGTGCCCATCCCAATGCCAACGGCACCATTTGGGGCCACAGCCCCAATCTGTGCGCCCCGCTCCTTCATCAGCCCCAAGCTCAACCCCATCCAATCCGCGTCCCACCCATCCGACAACATCTCCTGCCTCTAATCCCGCTCTGATTGACGTTAATTGAATATTACCATCCTTTAATTCCTCGGTAATTGAATCCCGCAGCAGCTCCTGCACCCCCTACGCCAGCATCCCCATCCCTGTCCGTGTCCCCATCAATGTTCCCATCCCCACCCCTGTCCTTGTCCCCATCCCCATCCGTGTCCCCATTCCCATCCCTGTCCCTTGTCCCCATTTCCATCCCTATCCCTTGTTCCCATCCCTTTCCCTGTCCCCATCCCTGTCCTTGTCCCCATTTCCACCCCTGTCCCCATTCCCATCCCTATCCCTTGTTCCCATCCCTGTCCCCATTCCCATCCCTGTCCCCATCCCTGTCCCCATCCCCACCCCTGTCCCCATTTCCCCCCCCAGTGGCCGCCTCCAGAGCCAGGACCCCGGCTCCGCTCCCGGCCCTCCCGTCCCAGCAGGAACGGAAAGTATTTCACCACCATCATATGACGCCAGCGCATCGCTGGCACGCGCCCAGCGCCAGGCTGGGAGGCACCAGGGCGGCCGACGGCGGGGCCGGGGCCGCATCCAGCCCTGCCCCTCGCCGCCATCTCGGGGAGTGGCCCCGGGGTGTCCCCAGCGTCCCCGCGGGGCTGGCACGGGGCTGGCGGGGGCCTCTCCGTTGCCTCTCCCCCTCCCCACCTCCCCGCTCCGCTTCCCGCTGCCGAAGCTGGTGGTAGCAAAGCTCTCCGGGGAAGGGATGCTCCAGTTATTTTCATTTTTTAAAAGGCAGAATTATAAAAACAAATGAGGAGGAGATGGGTTCCCCTCCTCCCCGCCGCCTTCGGGCACGCCGGGTCCCCGCCGTCCTCCCCGCGCCCTGGCCACGGTGACCTTGGCCGTGCCACCAGGCGCGGCGTCCCCGGGGGGGCAGCGGCACGTGGGGGTGCGCATCGGGGCCGTCTCCGCATCGGGGACATCTCCACATCGGGGACATCTCCACATCGGGGACATCTGCATCGGGGACATCTCCGTGCCCCCCTGTGCCACCGAAGCAGCTGGAGCGCCACCGGCTCCTCCAGCCCCCCCCGTTGGTGTCCCCAACCCGCGGGGTCCCCTCGCTCCCCGCCGCTGCCGTCCCCCCCCCCCCCCGCCGGCCGAGGAGCGCCGCGGCGATTGCTTGTGACACCAATCTCACAACAAATTTAGCAGCTCAT